CCCCTGCTCTCCTGCCCCCATGGTGCCCCAGCAGCCTGGCCCCACCTGCCTGCACCCAGCGGGGCCCCTGCTGCCCCTCTCCTGCCCCTCTCCGACCTGGACACTCCTGGCATCCTTGCCCAGCACCCGTTGCTTTCACGGGAAGCAGACTTCTCCCTGGTGTCCCTGGTGTCCAGCGCATGGGGGCTCGAACGTGCTCAGTGGTCCCTCTTCCTCCTCCCAGCCAACAGACCCAGTGAGACTCGGCACTAACCTGATTCTGGAGGGGTCTTCTCAGGGTATCTCCCTACTCCAAGCATCAGGAAAAAGGGAAACAGGCGCCCCCATGCAGGAAGAAGACGAGGCCCCTGAGAGGGGTCTCATAATGCAAGAGACCACTGTGTGTGCTGTGCAGACAGAGCCCTGGGCTGGAGCCAAGCCAGCCCCCCTGGCCACGTGCACTACACAGGTCTCTATGCACTGCAGCGCCCCTAACAGTGTGGGGGCCAGGCCTCCCTCAGGGGCACATGTACCTGAGCATAGATGCTCCCTCTTGTGACGGGGGGATGCAGCTTTCACAGTGAGGCAAAAGGTGGCTCCTTGGGGGCCCACACACCTCTCACCCTGTATCAAGGCAGCAGCAGGCTGACGATCGAGGCTGAGTTGGTGGTGAGATTAGAGGGGAAGTAGCTAAGCCCGAGCGTGTGGCAGACTGGGTTTGATGAGAATCCGTAGCACGAGAAGGGACAGGATGTGGGGAGACTCCACAGAGAGCTTCAATATCCGCCAAGGACTTGTCAAAGCAGGTCACTGGCCCTGACTCCATAGTTCTCAGTTCCAGGTGGAGCTGTGCTCTGCCTTCTCACCAGCGGTGCCAACACCGCTGTCTGGTTCAACAGCATGGGGACTCTGAGCACATCTGCGGCTCTAGTTCGCCTTTTCTAAACCACTGAGCACTGGGGCTCCAAACCAGATCTGACCAGAGGCAGTGGTTACAGTGTCGGAGGTCACCCCGATCTGCTGCTCCCCTGGAATGTACCTCCTGCAAGTGAGGACTGAATTTTAATTTTATCTCCTTTTAGTTAAGCTGACTTAGCTCATGTGCCCAGTGGCCACTCTGTGGGGGCGGCACTGCTCTGAACAAAGGAAGCTTAGGTCTGTCCTGGGGCTGAATTCCTTACCTCCTGGTTTAACCTCAAGGAGTTGTTAGGAAATTCATGCCTGGCTGGGAGCCTAGTGATGGGCTGGGGTCCTTGAATGAAGTCTTCCCTTCCTCTTCCAAAGCACCAGCATAGGGCCCCCCATGGCTGCCAAGGCCAGGCTGTTGGATGTCTAGGAGGAAGGATGGTTTCAGAGCCACCTTTCCCAGCTATGTTGGCAAAGGCTCTGAAGTTGTCAGGCCCCATGGCTGATCCGATGATGCGATAAGGGATTTGGACCTGGGGATAAGCAGGATCTGACAGACTCCCTGTACTATGCTTGGGCATGGGGACAGGTCTGTGATTGGGGATTTCTATTATTACTGGGAGCTGTTGCATCTCTTCTATGGCCCTGAAGGTGGCTCCTGTGGGAATTCCCCATATCAAAGGAAGTATATTTGGGGGAGAGATAATTAAGAACAGATAAGGGATACGGAGGCATATGTTTACTACCCAAACTCTGACCTACGGTGGTGTCTCAAATGAAACGGCAAAGCGTGGACCAATTTCCCTTCTCCCTCCTTCCTCCCAAGCAAGCAGGGTGATGCAGAAAATGATACATGTCCCATGCTTTGGAGTCAGTGACTCTCCTCTCAGGTACAGTTCAGGTTTCTGCTTCCTTGCTCCTGATCAATATGAGTAACTCTCTCCTACTCTGTGGGCTGCAGTCTTTGTGTCTATGGACTGTGGAGAGTGAGTTGAACATGGTCCTGGCTGCACAGAACATGAGCTCTTGCTGGAGACGTAGCACCCAGCTCTGGCCCAGACCTGTGAGTGAAAACCTGCATTTTAACAATTTCCCCAGGGGGCTGATGTGCTGGCTGTGAAGCGTGTGTGTAGGTGTCTTCTTCCTAGCAGCTCCACTGTAGCCTGAGACTACACTGCAAGTTGCTTCTCCTTAGGAGATAGAGCATAGTTTCTGGGGAAGACACCAGGCTCCAGACTGCGTCCAGGGCTTTACAACCATGAAAGAGGTCTGGGCTGGAGTCTCTCAGATGGAAGGAACCACTTTCGCTGGAGCAGGTGCTTCCCACTGCAGCCTGGGAGGTGCTCAGTTTGTAGAAGCATTTTCCAAGTGCTTCTCTTTGAGGAGTAAGTGGTGTCCTTATCCCTATTATCACATATCCTGTCAGTGGCAGCCACTCTGAGATAAGGCTGGCACAGTGGCTGGGGCCTTCCCAGGGCTGGGCTTCCTCCCAGGTCTACCTGTGATATCAGAAGGGGGCTGGGAGCTGCCCTGGCTCCCTACTCCTTCTCCTCCCTGGGGTGCTGCTTCAGAACCAGGAGACTAGAGAGTTGCATTTCTGACCAGTGACAGTGCCTGTGGTGTCAGAGATCATCCAGATCTGCGGCTCCGGTGGTGGTCATGTGCCACACTCTGCTATGGATCCCCCAGAATGTGCCTCGTGCAAGTGAGGACTTAATTTTATCTCCTTTTAGTTAAGCTGACTTAGCTCATGTGCCCAGTGAGAGTTCCATTTCCCTGCCAGAGAAGAGCTGGGCCTGGGAGGGACAAGAGGCAGACAGAGGGAATGGATGTGGTTCATTAACCTGCCTGACAGAAGAGGAGGGTGGGTTCTGGCTGAGCATGTTACAAGTTTCTGCACTGCTGTCAATACAAGGTCTTTCCCTCCTGGGGGAACAAAATCTCAGCAGCTCCACTGGGCCTCCAGGAGCCGTGGCATGGATTTAAAGGTTTCACTAGAAAGAACTCCTGGTCTCATGAAAGGGGATGACACTAGGCTTCTATGACCACAAGAGAGCTGGGGAGGTACTTATCTGGCTTCCCCTCAACTGCACTCCAGCTTCATTTCACAATCACCATTTGTCTATAAGAGGGAGGGAAATAGCTCAGATCAAACACTCACTCTTCCCAGTAGACCCGGTGACAGAAGGCAGGGGTGGGGCTATTGTGCCCAGTTTTTGGAACCAGGCCATATGGGTTCAAATCCACACAGCCACCTACTAGCCCTGTGACCCTTGGCAGAGCCTCAGCTCCACCCCAAGGCTGCACAATCAGAACCTGCAGTGTAGCCAGCTGCCCTGGAGTCACTCCATGTGCATATAGTTTTGAGGCATGCTAGATGGGTTTCTCATATTCCTGTTAGCCCCTGTATTCTCAGACCCTGAGATTATATTCCAAGTAGTTTAATCATCAGGAATTAGAAATACAATTCTGGGGAAGAAGCAGGCTTTGGACTTTGCCACCAGTTAACCATTCAACCTTAGCAAGTGCTACACCTTGTGTCCCCATATCCCCATCAGGGAAACTGATGGAGAGAAAGGGTTTGTTTGGGCTCAGTTTCAGGAGTTTCAATCTATGGCCAGTTGACCCTGCTGCTTTTGGGTCTGTGATGAAGCAGCACACTGTGGCAGGAGCATGGAGGGAGGAAAAGATGCTCACTTCTGGTGTGCTGGGAGATGATGTTCCACAGTCCCTTGTAAGGACGTGCCTCCTATGACCTAAGACCTCCCAGCAGGCCTCATCCCTGAAAGACACCACCACCTCCCGACAGTGCCACACCTTTAACACATGGGCCTTGGGGACCACATCCAAGCCATAGCTTCAGGCTGTCCCAAGACAGTAGTATGCCTCCTGGACACCAGCTCCAGGGGATACTGTCATACTGGATTAGGGCTCAGCCATCTGATCTCATTTAACCTGCCTTACTTCTTTAAAGTCCCTATTTCCAAATAGTCTCAGCCTGAGGTCCTGGGTAATCAAGGTTTCAACAGGGAGTTTGGGGACACACAATTCAGCCCAGTAAGACACACAACCATATTTGGCAGGTAAGAGTAAATCAGACTGCACCCAATGCAATTCCCAGGGTGTGCTCGGTTCCAAAGCCTGCCACCTCTCAGCAGGAGAAAAGTGACCTGTACCCACAGGTGTGAACTTAAGGGCAGTGTCCAGATGCATCAGGCTCAGATAAAATATCTCCCCCAAACTCCGCTGAGCACTGTGGAGGGTGAGGGTCCGGATGAGGTCTGGTCATAGGTTCGGTCTCTTCTTCAAGCTATTCTGGAGCATCGCTCCTTGTGTACATGGCCCCATAAGATATAAGTCATGGGGCAGAATTCAAAGCTGAGTCCTCCCTGTGACTCCCATAGGATGGAGTCTGGAGACCAGGGCCCTGTGAGCTGGCAGGTTTTGAGCTAGCATATCCTCTGACCCTGTCACTGTACCCGTATTAATGATGAGGAGACTAAGGCCTAGAGAGGTCGAGTGGCCCGTAGGGCACACAGCTGATGAGAGCTCAAGGTGGAGCTCAAACCCAGGTCCTCAGATCCCATCCCCCGGCCCTTCTCCTGAGTGTCCTCCATGACAAGAGTACTGCTGCGTGAACACTGACCCTGCCATCTGCACGTGATCCTCACACAACCCTGAAACCTAAGGCTCATATTTCTGGGTTTACAGATGAACGTGAGGCCTGGGTGCTCAGGTGGCTTCTCAGGGCAGCATGGCTGAGGTTGAGGCTCAGGGCTCTGCTGCTGCCACATTTGGTGTGGGCTGAGTCTGCCTTGGCTTCCCTCTTGTATTTTCATGGGTAATCGAGGGCAGTCCCTCTGCCTCTCACCCGAGAAGGAGCCCCAAAAGCCTCAGCTCCTGTCCACTCTCAAAGCTTCCCCATGTTCCAGCCTCCTCTGTTTCTGACGCATCCCATGCTGTCCAGTCCTGCTGAGTGCTGGCCTTGAGGGGAGGAGCTGGGAATTTTTGCCCCAGGCTGAGATGTCTCAGGTGGGCTCATATGGGTGCTGTTGCCTGGGCCTCTCTGGAGGACCCTATACTACTCTGCTCATCATTTTATCTCTTCTCTGCAGGTGAAATGTGACGACTCCAGGCTGTAACCGGCTCCCTGCAGGACAAGCAGAGCCTGGGTCCCTGGGAGCCGAGGAGAAGCTACAGACCAGGAAGCAACACCTCCACTCCTGATTCTGCCTCGTCACCTTGGGCCTGTGAGGCTGGACAGACCCCAGCCCAAGTGGCAGTGGATTTGGAAATGCGGAGCTTCCGGAAAACTTGGGCTGGCTCCTGGGATGACTCATGGAGTTACCCTAAGTGTTGCCCTTGGGATGTCTGCATTTCCCTTCACATTGGGTCTGCCACACTCATTCACCAAACCCTTCATGGCCCATTGTGACTGCGAATCCAAGTCTGCATCTCCAATTGTCCTGCACAGGCTGACTGTGACAGCACGCTACTCTGAGGATTGCTGCAGCCAGCGCTGTTTCAACATCTTCGACAGCATCTTGCCAGCTGAGAATCTGAGCCCAACTCTACTGCCAGGAAGCTCTCAGTGACCAGTGGAGAAGCCCACCCTCCTTTGCTGGACAAGTCTCAGAGGACTCAGGGAACCATCCAGGATTTGCTTGCACAGCACGCACTTTGGGCACATGTGCTCTGCATGGGGAGCCATCACAGGCAGGAAAGCACTGTCACCATCACAGAGGGTCCTGGTCAGGGCTACTCTGCCTCCCATAGCTTTGACAGCTGGCTCTGTGACCCAGAAGGAGCCTCACTCCTGTTTGGGGGAAGGGGTCAAGTGTTATGCCCCCTGTGCACAGTTGTTCTTGCATCTACCCAGAAAGGGCATCTTCATCTTTCTGCTTTCGAAATGACCTATGACCTCATCAGATGAGGTTACTGCCCTCCCCACTCTCTCCATGGGAAGGGTAAGGCCCATGGAGCCCATGGCTCACAGGGGGTCACTGGAAGGTTAGGGCTGCAAGGTGCCACACTCCAGTCCCTGCACTGTGTAGGTGCCCCCCTTTCTCTGCAGAGCAAAGGACAAGCTACCTTTGGAGACTGAGAGGAGTTGCACTCTGGCTTTGCCCCAGGACCATGGAGCACCTCTGCTCCTGCTGTCCCCTCATTTCTGCTGCAAAGAGTGTGAAATGGAGCCATCTTTTTGGGGTGGGAGAGGTGCCATCCCCCAATGCCACACCGCGTGACCTCATTACCAGCTGAAGCACTAGAAAGGGCCTGTTGTTCTGAGAATCAGTCCTAGGCAGGCAGGTGCTCGTAAGAGGATACCGCCCCTCGCCCTTCCCCGTGCACCTGTGGAGAACAGGCGGGGCCAGGGAGCTCCTCTGGGACCCCTCTTGCCTGTCCCAGCTCACTGAGCGCACACAGAGCCTTGCTGTGCAGGAGAGGTCAGGCCGATCAGATTTGCTGTTGAGCTGGTTTAAGGGCAGCCTCTGTGAGTCCCATGTTCACCTTCTATATGAGAAAAGGAGCAAACTAGTAGTGGCTTTTATAAAATGGAAGTTTAATGAAATAGAACTTTAATTCTCTCGAACTGTAAAAGTAAGTCCATCTTCTAGGGCTATTTCCATTCTGCACAGGGACTGAGCTAAGTTTCTATCGTTTAATATGCTTTGCCATTCTCATGGCTCCTACTACGTGCCCCAAGATAGCTGCTGAAAAATCCAGCTATCATATCTGCATTCCAGCTAGCAAGAAGGAGGCAGGAGGAAATAAAATCTTCCCACCCTTTCTGTAAGGGCATTTTCTGCAATGCACACACTCCCTAGTATTGCTGCTATATTCAGAGAACCTAATTCCATGTCCACACAAGGGAGACTGAGGAGGGTGGGCTTTATCCTTGGTGGCCCTGTGCCCAAATAAAAACCAGAGGATCTGTCACTAAGGAAGAAGGATAAAGTGGATAGTGACAATTTGCCATCTCTGTTCTACCTTCCTCTGGGGCAGGTAATAGGAAGATTATTTATAATATGTGGGCATTTGTATTTAGGCTTTCAGTATTATGCTCCAGGACCAGCTTTCAAAGCACAGACCAGTAATGGAAAGGTTAGAAATCAGTCCACATCCTTCTTTCCCTCTTTGGGATCCTAAGGCCCAGAGAGCTGAAATGAATCAGCTGAGATCACACAGCAAATTGGTGTATCTCATTCCCAGCTCATGTTCAGTGCAGGTATTTCTGTTCTTCTGTTTCTTAAGAAAAAGCTTCATTCATTCTGCAGAGGTAGGGCCTCAGTTACCTGCTGTCTTGGAGCTGCAGAACACAGGCAGGACTCTGCAGGGTTTGCATGCCGTGATCTGCCCAGCCTGAATCATGGTGGCTGAGGACTGTGCTCTGGGCTGGCTGGAGTGCACCATCTTTGTCGTGTGTGTGTGTGTGTGTGTGTGTGTGTGTGTGTGTGTGTGTGTCCCTGTCTGTCTCTGTGCCTGACGCCTTTGCTTAATTTCAGGGCACGCTCTGTCAGGATGGAAGCCATCGCGAGGCAGAGGCATGACACTTGGGTCAAGGCTGCGCTGGCGACTGGGTGGCTCTTTCTGGCCCTCTTCCCTGGGGCCGCATCCAAAGGTGAGGGACCCCTTAGGAGCAGTGGGGCCTGCCATCCCCACATGGAAGACACAGCACGCATCCAGGTTGCAGCGGTGAGAGGCCGGGAGAAGAATCAGAGGGTTCGGCTGGGTAGCTTCACTATGGCGCATCCTCATCACACTTTCTGATCCCAGGCGAAGCTCACCTGGGTTGCTGTTCCTCACCCGCAGAACTATGGGTTATGTAGAGTCAGGCTTGGAGCCCAGTGTGTGGGCAGGCGGGAGGGACTGGTGTCCCCAGGGCAGGGAAGCCCCTTGAAAGGGTCACCCACTTCCTAGTTCTAAAACTGCTGCCATGTGGAATGGGATGTGAATTTTTAAGAGGAACCAGGAATGTAGATTTTTATATAAGAGCTCCCTAGTTAAATGTTAACATCTAATTGAAGTTTTTCAAAACTCACTCTGAGGGTTTAGACAAAAACAAAAAATACATATCTGAGACCCAGCTTTCTACCTTTGTCTGGGCCACCTGGTGGCAGTGTCCCCTTCCTGCTTTTGTGTCACATCTGGGAACCTTAAGGAATTGCACAGCTGCGATGGGCTGAGCAGGGTGTAGGTCTGCTTTTCTATCCCGGTACCAGCAACCTTTGCCTTCAGCAATTTTAAATTAACATCCGTAGCCCAGAGCAAGTTTGCCTGGGCCAGAGTGTGAGGCAGGAGCCCATGAAGGGTAGAGGATGGTTTTGAAGCCTTGAATAGGGGTTTGCTAACATTACCACCAACACTGCCTATTTTTAAAATGCTAGTATTATTTAGTAAGTTTTAGGCTTTGCTAAGTAAGAATCATCTCCCATTGAACTACATCTTGTTTTTCTCCACTCTCTGATGGAAGGAAGTCTTCTGTAGTCATAACTACTGACATTCCTTCACTGTGATCTCTTGTAGAATCTTCCCAGTCCTTAGGAGATGTAGCTAACCATCAATATTTCAACTTTTAATGTCATAACTGACAATATTGCCTGAATTCATTTACTTATCCTTCTGTCACTTACTTGGTCAAGAAACACAAAGTCGGTATTGACTCTGCCAAGAACTGGATCTGGGTTTAACTTTTATGGTGGACTCACCCTGGGGAGCGTACTCGGCACCTCCAGTGCCTCCCACCCTGCTGGAGTATAAACCCCTTGGAAGGGAGGCTATGCCTCTGTCCCCTCCAGCCTGTGCTCTTCTCTGGTGTTACAGGGATTCAAAAGGTAGGGCTTGCCATCCATGCCCCAAGTGGTTGGGACCACATAGCCGCCCCCGCCTTGGGAAGTCAGCATGATTGCCAGTGAAGGTGCTGGCCTGTTCAGCCCCTCACTGATCCATATGTGGAAATCCATTGACTTTGGCCATGTTCTGTGTACAATATCCAGCCACATGGAGCAGTGTCCTTCTGGGCTGGGCATAGCCATGATCCAGGCCTCTCGAGGGGTAAGCTTGGGCTCCCTGTGGCCAACAAGCCCACTACCTCCAAATTCAGGTTCAGTCTGCTGCCAGATCCTGCACTCAGGAAGCAAAATGGACAGCAGGTAGTCCTGGTAGGTGGGCTGGAGGCCTGGAGGCCTTGTGCTGTGGAGTGGAAATGACCCTTTCAGGGTGCTCGGGGCTCCCAGCCTGGGCCCTTGGACCCCCTTTAGCCATATCTATCCCCCACATGGCTGGGAGGGCTGCCCTGGAGACTGACCCACATGTTCAGGCACAGGGAAGGGCTCCAGAGCCCTGGCTCACATGAGCAGCCTGGGCGGCTCAGTTCCAAAGCAGAGAGCCAACTGGGCCCATCCTGGCACTTACAGGCAGCATCTCTGCCCTTCCGTGAGAGTGAAAAGTCCCCACTTTTCATCATATTGCCACTTGAGCCCTTGGGGTTTTAGACAGCTGAAAGAGCTGCTTTAGTGACACCCTCACCCCTCATGTGGAGTTCTCTTCTTACTGAAAGACACCCAAAGCTGATATCTACAGGATAGTGAGGTGGATGGAGCATAAAGGAACATTCCAGTGGTCCTGAGGAGGCAGGATAGGGATGAGACCTGGCAACCAGTGCTTGGGAAAGGATGGTATCTTAGTGACTTTCTAGTCACTGAGATATGTTATCCAATACCCATAATTCTGAGAAAGAGAGGGTTCTTTTAGCTCACAATTACAGTCCATGGTCAGCTAGTTCCAAGGCAGAGATGGCATGGTGGAAAGGCACTAGGCAGAGGAAAGCTGCTCATGTCATAGTGGCCAGGAAGCAGAGAATGCAGTGAGGTGGCAGGGAGGGAGATATAACCTTCCAGGTCATGCCACCAGTGACCCACCTCTTCTGACCAGGCCCCACCTCCTGAAAGCAAGTCAGTTACATCACCCCTGTGATTCAGTCACCCCAAAACCCAGCCTATGAGCACATGGGGCATTTGGGAGACATTCTTGATGTAAACCATAGCACTCTACCTCTGTACCTCCCCCCCAAAAAAAACTCATGTGCGTCTTTTTATGCAAGATGCATTTATTCCATCTCTGTCACCAAAGTTTTACAGTTCTAGCATTGCTGAAAAGTCCAAGTCCCAAAGTCTTCTCACACTCAAGGTAACTCTTAGCAGTGATCCCCTGTAAAAATCAAATAGTTAAACACTTCCAACATACATTGGCACAAGATAAACATCCCCATTCCAAAAGGGAGGAATAGGAGACTAGAAAGGAATGGGGCCAGAGAAAGACCAAAAACAAGCAAAGCAAACATTAAATCCTATAGTTCAGGGCCAGGGATTTGGCTTAGTGGTTCTGCCACTTGCCTTGCAAGCACAAAGACCTGAGTTCGATCCCTGGTACCAAAAAAAAAATCCTATAGTTTAGTGTCCAGCACCCAAGGTAAGTTATGATGATGAAATGTGGACTTCAAAGGGCTCAGATAGCCCTGCCCTTACCACATCACCTGTTGCATTCCCCATGGTCTTGCTCTTGGGCTGGCTCTGCTCACTGCCTGAGGCTTTCCTCAGCAGACATGCCATATTCTTGGCTTCTTGAACTTTCTGAGGTCTCCATTGCATTTTTGGTTTCACTCTTATAGTTTATATATGTCAGAGGCACACTGCCTAACCTCCCAGGCCTTTTTCTGAAATCTGGATGAAAGCCTCTGTGACCCCACAACTGTTGTATTCTGCACAGCTATAAAACCAGTGGATGATGTCAAAGTCTGCTGCCAGCTTAAGCAGTAGCTGGGCCCCTTTGGATCATAGCTGCAGAGGCCTCTGACTCCCTGGATGGAAGAACTTCAGGAAACTCTTTTCTAGTTGGCCCTGAATGAGCTGGGCACCCTGAGGGTCTCTTTTCAGATAAAAGCTTTACAGCTTTGCACTCTTAAGTCTGCAAAGGGAGGGTTCTTGCTGATTCTTGCAATGCTGTCAAGGCATCCTTCCTATTGTCCTGATGTGACATACTTGGCTTCTTTTTAATGCTAATCTTTAAGCAATCAAACTCTCCTCTGCCAAATCTGCAGCCCCTTTCTGGGGAAACAAAATTATTCAAATGAACTTTTTGCTCTTGATTTTCAATATAAACCTGGTTTTAGCTTTCAAGAAGCAAATAGTATCCATGCTACAGACTGAACATTGAGCTGTCTTGAAATTTCCTCCACCAGATTAGTTTACTATCTTTAATCTAAGTCTCCTGAAAAGTCTCAGGACATGAGAAAAATACTGTATAGATACCTTTTTTGCCAGAGCATAACACACACATGTTCTTGATGCTATCTGCCAGTGGGGTGCTTGTCCCCAGCTAAAACCTCCTGAGCCTGGTCTTTACTGTCTGTGTTCCTGTCAGCATTCTGGCTTTCTGAGCTCCAACCAGAATCTCCCATCAAGCTTGGCTTAAAGAATTCTAGGGCTTTTCTAGCATCTTCAAATGTTTCCAAACACCTCCCATGAAACCAAATGGTCAGGTAATATCCACAGGCATGACCCCACTTCTTTGGTAACAAAATATGTGTTAGTCACCTTCTCATTGATGAGACACAATACTCAGCACCCTCAACTTAAAGAAGGAGAGGTTTAGTTTAGCTCATGGCTGGCTTCAAAGCAGAGGCAACATGGAGAAAGGACCTGGGCTGAGGAAAGCTGCTCACACCATGGTGGTCAGGAAGCAGAAAGTGAAGGAAGGAACTGGGGAGGGAGATATATCCTTCCAGATCATGCCCTCAGTGACACCTCTTCTGACCAGGTTTCACTTCCCAACAGCAAGTCAGTTATAATGTTCCTATAATCAATCACTTCCCCAGAGCCCCACATCTGAGTGCATGAGACCTCTGGGGACATTCTCAATCTGAATCATAACAGATGATCATGAAGCTCAGCAACCTGTGGCTGGGGAAGGAGGATGGGGATGGGGCTCTGCAATCACATAGAGTGTCTACACTGTGCTTTGCTTCATATGGGCAACAACCATGGGCTATCATGAACTTGAGGACCCTGCTGGTGTTGTGGAGCCACATAAAGTGATGACTCCATTCTGGTCTCCCTGAGATACTTAAATATGTCAGTGATGTTATAGTCCCAACAACTGAAGAAAAGACAGAGAAACCAGAGGCCCTTGGGGGTGCAGGTGGCTCATGCAGCCATTGTACCTGAAGGACCCAATCTCTCCTCAGCCTGTTGCTCAGCCCTGTGCTATGGGCCTGGCTTCTGCTCCTTCCTGCACCATCTTCCTCTGGCCTTGCCATGGGATGCCTGCCCATCACCTACCTGTATGGATTATATCTAGATGTCCTCAGGTACTCAGAGGCAGGGACTTGTGAAAGGTGATTGGATCCTGGGGTGCTGTACTAATCAATGGATTAGTTCACTGTTGAGTTTATAACTACATGTGCTGTTAGGAGGTGGGGCCTGTTAGGAAGAGGCAGGTCACTGTGGACATGACCTAGAAGAGTGTATCTCCCTCCCTGGCTCCTCTCTTCTCTCTCTGCTTCCTGGCTGCCATAGGTGAGCAGTTTTTCTCTACTCAGGCCCTTCTATCCTGCCACTGACCATTCAGGGACTGAAACTTCTAAAACATGGGCCAAAATAAATCTCTTCTCCTTTAAGTTGCAGATGTTAGGTATTTTGTCCCAGTGACGAGGAAAGTAACTAAGACAGCACCCCACCAGGTTATCCTGAAATCTCCTAGTTATAGAAGACAAGAGAGTCAGTCCAGCCATGCTCACCTTGCCTTGCCTGTTCTCCCTCCAACTTCCTCCCCTCTGGATTTCCCCTTGCTATCTATGGGGCTTCCCCCAGATCCTAAGACAAGCACCAAACACCCCACCACCCACTGGCCACACTGTTGAAGCATAGCCTTGTTTGCCTCATGAAGATGCAGATGCCTCCTAGTACTTCTAGTGGGGTGGAGAGAAGCTGCACCTACCCTGGAGCCTCTAGGCAGCCACCTGCCACCTTTGGATCAGATGCTCGAAGGGCAGGACAGGAACACAGAGTGCCAATAGAGGGGTGGCTGGTGTTTCTCCTTCATGGAGTGGCAGTGTCCACATAGCCATCCAGCTATGCTCTTTGGTCCCCCAAGTGACAGTTTAAGAGGTGTAGGGGGATAAGACTGTCACTGGAACCACCCTGGCTTAGTAGCCTCATGCCCCAGCAAAGCCAGTATCTCTCGTAGCAACTCCTTATATGTCACTCAGCATCCCTGCAAGGGACATGTCTAATTACAAGATTCTGTGCTTGCAGGTATGCCCACAGCATCACATCTCCACCAGGCATGAAAATAAAGTACTCATAGGGCCAGGGATTTAGCTCAGTGGCACCGCGCCTGCCTCATAACCAAAAGGTCCTGGGTTCAATCTCTGGTACCAGAAAAAAAAAAAAGTACTCATAACTCCTCCCAGCTTAAGGAACCCCATTCGGGGTTCACTTTTCTTATAAGCCATGATGCTCACTAGCCTAATTTATAGAGAACCATCTTTCTCAAGTTTCTAAGAACAGGGCTAGAAAATTAACCAAAGGTCAAATTCTCATGCAAAAAAGGAAAAAGTTTTGTTGTCTCTTCTCTGTAAACACTGCTTCCCTGAGGGCAGACTATCTTGAAACCCAAGCAGTTTGGGTAAATGATTGCATAGCTTCAGATCTGGAAAGGTCCTGGCTGGCCAACTGGTCTACCCTGCATCTTGTAAAGGGGAACACTGAACTCAGGAAGGGGAAGTGACTTGTTCACAAACACATGGCAAAATAATGAGAAATATAGGACTATACCCCAGGGCTCCAGCTTTCTAGGTCAAGGTGCCTCTCTGATCACTACAGTCTTGCTTTGGGCTCCAGTACAGACGGGGAGCATAAAGATGTAAACCACCCTCCCCGCCTTGCAGTGAGTCTTTGCCTGATGATGCCAGTGGATGGGAGCAATGACATATCTATCTTTGGCAGTGGCTGCTGAGTGCCCTGACCAGAACCCTGAGCTGCAGCCCTGGAACCCTGGCCATGATCCGGATCACCGAGTGGACATCAGCCAGGGAAGGATGCTGCTGCTTGCCTCCTCTGCCACCGTCCACTCCATCAACATCTCAGAGGGGGGTAAGCTGGGGTCTCCCCTCCTCAGAGCCTCTCAGAGGGTGCAAGCTGCTGTGTTCTTAGATGGAATATTGTTACAAGCTTTGGGTTTGAGTCAGAGCCCCTGAGTTTTTGTGATAACCATCAACTCTTAGGTTAGCACTTAGGAATGACTAGTGCTGGTCCAGTCTTGGTAAAATTAGCAAGGAAAGTCTTTATTGGTGCCGTGAGAGGTCCTGCCCTCTCACCTGCAGATGTTTGGTCACTGAGTGACAGCAGTGATGACTGTGAGCCAGATGGACATTATGTGCACATTGCAAAGTGAAGACAAGAAAAAAGTAATCACTTGTCGGACAGTGAGCACAGAAGCCTTTGGAAGAAATACCTTTTGGCCTGTTTGACTGAGATGGGGACTAGGGGAGTCTGCTCTGGGTCCTTTGCAACCTTCCCCTCACACTGTGTTGCTAAACCTCACCCCACTGCTCCCCCCTCTACAGGCAAGCTCATCATTAAGGACCATGAGAAGCCCATTGTTTTGCGTACCCGCCATATCCTGATTGGCAGTGGAGGAGAGCTGCATGCTGGGAGCACCCTCTGCCCTTTCCAGGGCAATTTCACCATCATTCTGTATGGAAGGTGGGAAAACCAACCCCTGCGGGGCAGATGCTGTTCTTGGGTCTGATAGGGAGAGGCAGAGCAGAGAGGGAGGCAAGAGAGCCAGACTCCAGCATAAGACAAGAGCCATGGTTCTGTTCTGCCAGATGGTGATGGGAAACAAAACAGATTCGGTGATGGGGTAAGGTGGAGAAGTCCATGAGGGATCTTATTTACCATGGCTCAGGTGTCTCACTGTGTCACCAAGGTCCCTGTCAGACTTTCCACCACCTCCCACTCACGCCATGGTTTGTGGAGCCTCTGAATGTCTACTTAATAAGTTATGATGAGCAAGTACAGGAAAACTCCACACAATAGCTGCCTCTGGCTGGGCAGAGTTCTAAGCAGCAGTAACCAAGAATGTGCAGGTCTAACAGCATAGGTGCAAGTGATCCCACAACTGGAATGGACCAGAATATAAGACTTAGACCTGAAGAGGAGAAGGAGGAACCTGCAAACTCACAGGTACTTCTGCTGGCCTCTTGGGCCTCCCATGGGCCTGGCATAGGGTGGCCAGTGCTGTATTTATCAAGTTGTCACCAAGCACGGCCAGCTGCATGGGACCAGTAGGCTGTTCTCTGTGAGGCCACATCCAGTGAGGAGCTATGCCTGCAACTTGGAGCTTTTCTCTTGCAGGGCTGATGAAGACATTGAGCCAGACCCTTACTATGGACTGAAGTACATTGGCGTGGGCAGGGGTGGCACCCTGGAGCTGCATGGGCAGAAGAAGCTCTCCTGGACATTTCTGAGCAAGACCCTCCGCCCGGGGGGCATGGAGGAGGGAGGCTATTTTTTTGAAAGGAGCTGGGGCCACCGCGGAGTCATTGTCCATGTCATTGACCCCAAATCTGCCATAGTGATCCACTCTGACCGGTAAGGTGGGCTTCACTTACACGTACAAACCTTCCTCCAGCACCAGTACACTGAGCCCATGTCCCAGCCAGGAGCTGTAATGGGGTTGTCTCAAAGCACTTGTCTAAGGGTGCTGAATTTAACAGGGATGCACACACACATGCACACTGAATTCAAATTGCAATTATTGGTAACAAAGGAGGAAAGACCATGGGAGATGTAGTGAAGTGGTTAAGTTACTAGGGACAGCTGGCCTAGTGCTGAGGAAAGGTTCCCAGCAGGACATAGCCATTGAACAAGCAGAGCCAGTGCTCCTGAGCTGCTCAGGGAGAGGTGGCACTCCTAGCAGCAGGGCACAGCCATGAGTGTCCATGAAAAGGCAGAGGGCACCCACTGGCACACAGAGCGGCTGACATGACCCGTGGTTGTACTGGTCACAGTGCAGTCACTGCACACTGTCTGTGCAATGCTCTGTTCTCACCACTCTACCCAACGTGTGCTTTAATCTTCACAAACATTCTCTTAGCACTGCATTCTGTGGATGAGGTGCCTATGCCCAGAGTCCTAAGTTGGTGAGGGCTGGAGCTGCAACAGAAACCCAGATCTGTGTTACCTCCTGGTGCCAGCCCTGTGCAGTGGCTGGCAGAGCAAGTTTGAGCTGTCAGATGAAGCAGGACAAGTGTAGTTGACTGGGAACCCATTGGTCACAGGCTGATTCCTTCGGGATGATTCCTCACTAGGTACAGTGCTGTTCCTTGCAGCTGTGCAGCTCCAGATTAAATGAGTTACTGCGCTGAGAAACGAGAGGTTGTCTGGAAGCTGCTTGGGGAGGTTACTGAGATGAGACGCCTGCTTGCTCCAAAGCTCTTTGGCTTCAGTGTGTCGTGACCTCAAGGATCTGATAGCTGAGCATGTTAGCAAATGCATTCACTAACATGCACACACACACATGCACACACACGCATGTGCACACACAGCCAGAGTTACCTGAGAAATTGCTCAGAAGAGTGGGCACTTGGGTCACTCTGAAAAAGCAGGACGGATTTGATAAACTGGGAAAAGGCTGGGCTGAGTGAGCAGAGACAGCACCAGGCACGTAGCATGGTGATGGGTCTCTGAGAAGGGGCAGCCTTGTGGCAGATGGGCCCTGGGGACAGTGAGAACAGGAACAAGGCAGGGTTGGACCTGGTTATGCCAAGTTTAAACAAGTTTGGCAACCCAGGAGCAGGTATCAGGAGCACCTCTAAAGCTACCACTTGCACCATCTCTGTTTTTCTGTTTTAAGATCTCATTGGCCGTTTGCACTGGCTGGTTTTTCCAAATTCATTCTAGAGCTACATTGCTTGTTTAGTTCCAAGGCACATTCTTTCCACCGCAATTGCACAAAATCTTTATATTTATGTGACTGAGTTGGGATTCTTACCAAATTGTCTTTCCTTTGTAAATTCTTTTCAACAGTGGAGTAGTATTTTTTAAAATCTGTACTTTCTACATATTTTATGTATACTGTATAAGAGAGGGTTGTCTTTGTCAACTTTGAAATGATGAGTTCTTACCCTACGCCTCGTCCCAGCTACTCCAGAGACTGAGGCAGAAGGATGACTTGAGCCCAGGAGTTTGAGGCCAGCCTGGGCAACATAGTGAGACCCATCTCAAAAACAAAAACAAACAAATAAAAAAATGTAGCTAGAGATGATCTGTTCTTACTATAAGAGATGTGTTGGATAACACCATACCTGTAGTCAACCATAATTTATTGTATACTTAAAATTTTATTAAAAGGCTAACTTCATGATAATTCTTACCACAACGTAGTAAAATGATTTTTTTAAAAAAAAAAAAACAGAAGAAAGAAGGAATGCAACAATACTTATAACACTTAAGGGTTCTATCACTGCTACTGTGTAAGTCAGCGATGACATTTTCATGATTCTAAAATGTATTTCTATATACGGCCTGCTCTAGGGGTGGAAGGTGTGATGAGAGATCATCTCTGTTTCATTTCCAAGCTTTTGGAGAAGTGTTTCAGTCTAGAGCAGAGATAGAAATCCCCGTGAACGAGGTATCTGTATAGGGCGAGGCAACCGAACCCTAAGGATGTGACTGTGCTCAACATCCCAGAGCTTGAGGTCTCTGCTGCTGGAATTGTCAGGTCTTGGGCAACTTACCAATGAATTACCATGATGGTCAGGTCAGGTCCTTCTTGGACACTACCACATGGTGTACAAAGTTCCTATGCTCACTTGCTCTTTAAAGAAAAGGCTTCTTTGTTTAGAACCCCAGCCTGTGGGATCTCTGTATGGCATATTAGTTTTGCAACACAGATCCCTGTTTAGATCACTTTGGGGCTGCTATTGAGACTACCCAAAGCCTCTCTCTCTCTCTCTCTCTCTCTCTCTCTCTCTCTCTCTCTCTCTTTCTGTGCCCCTTTTCAGATTTGACACTTACAGATCCAAGAAAGAGAGTGAGCGTCTGGTCCAGTATTTGAATGAGGTTCCTGATGGCAGAATCCTTTCTGTGGCGGTGAATGATGAAGGCTCCCGAAACCTGGATGACCTGGCCCGGAAAGCTATGACCAAGCTAGGGAGCAAACACTTCCTGCACCTTGGATTTAGGTACAGCCATCCTTCCCTCTGCCTCTGCACTGGGTGCCACCCAGAACTAACCTTTCTCTTAAATGGTGACCCAGGATCCAGGCACATTGCCTGTCTGCACTGGACATCTTGGGGCTTGTGCTTAAAGGGAGCCTTTTTCTTTTAAACAAGTACAGCCCACTCTTAAACCCAAAAGGTCTCTGTTTATATGGATTCATTCAGTCAGTCAACCACAAAGCTTTGAGTGTGCTGTGTGTGAGAGCCATGCTCTGGGATGTACAGCTAATGTTCAAGTTTTCCTTTCTTGGCAAAAGACTCATGCCATGCCTTGGGGATTGGCAGGCAATTTTTTAAAGGATTATGCAAAGTATCTCTGCTCAGCCAAACATCCAAGGAAAAGAGGGCTTTTGATATGCTCCAGTGTGGGCTTTATTTGTTTCAAACTGTAGCATCATGACTGACTTTGGTGCACGCAGGTTGGCACTGAGGGGAGGCTGTTTGCCCTGCAGTAGTAACTACACCTCTTTATCCTGTGGAATCTGGGCTCAGGCCAGTTGAAAGTCGAGCTTACCTCTCCCATAGCTGTTGGGAGCCTGTGATGCCCCTCCTGTTGGCTTCCCAGGTGTAGGGCAAGATGGGAGCAGGTCAAAGCCCTTTCTAGTCTCAGGGCACAGTGACTTTACTAGCTGGGCAGAGGCTCCCTTGGAGAGGGAGGTGCTTGGCTTCGAGGGTGCGTCCTCTGACAGCTCAAGGCTGCTCCTTCTGGAAGAGGACTTGGCAGGAAACTCACGCAGCCAAAGATGACAATGCTATCTTGGCATGGCAAGACTCTTTTGTTAGCAAGCCCTAAGCACTTCCAAGTCCTTGTCTTATAAACCAAACACTAGTTTCTTAATTTGCAATGAGAGATAAAACCACAAGGGACTGGTTGTTTGGGGCCTCAGCAGAAGACAGCAATGGCTAAGGCCAAAGTCTGGCATCTGATGGCCTAGATGTGGGTCTAAACTGCTCCTCCTCCAAGGCAAGACTGCAGGTAAGTGATTCAGCAACTTGCTGCATAGACCCTACACGTGTCAAATGGGCTATCTCAAGACCCTTAGGAGAATCTCATGTGATGATATAAGCAAAATACCAGTCATCCTGTCTGGCACAGAATAAGCACTCTGTAAATGGCAGCGACTACTTTCTCCTTATAAATGAGAGCCACAGGTGCTTGCTGTGTTTGACCATAGCCAGCCACATGGGTAAGCCAGGTAGGGATTACACACTTTGCCCCTGCTCTGTGTGGAGACACACTTTGGATGAAGAGCACAAGAAATCTACAGTCAGTAGGAGCACTAAGACTTGACTCTGTCCTTGGTCCATTTACTCAGGAGATGGTTATGGAGCAGAGGCTGGTGGGAGGCACTGGGCTGGATCAGGTGTGCGAGCTCTCATGAGAGGGCAGAAGCTGGTGGGGACTGGTGGTGGCACATTGGAGAGCAAGACAGAGCACATGTGGGATCTAGTGTAGACTCTCGGGGGTGAGCGTGAGGCCAGGCAGGCCCCCACAGGGAGGCCCAGGAGGAAGTGTGGCTGTCCAGAAGAGGAGGGACAGACCAGGCAGCTGGACGGTATGGAGCAGGGTGAGGACTGAGAGGTGAGACTGGGAGAACGTGGGAGGGTGCACTGGCCATGGGGATCGATGAAAGATTGAAGGGAGAGAGTGCCAGGGCTGAGTCCTCGGTCTTGTTAAACGCCACTCAGCAATGACCTACTTTCCAAGGCAAGAGATCTGAACAAAAATGACTAAAGCTGTCCGGCACCTAAATGGCCTACAGAGATAGAAGGGGGAAATGTCTTTCCTTCTTCCCATCTAAGCTCTTGACTGAGGCCCCTGTGACAAACAAACTGATTGGAAAGAAAGGACTGAATGGTGTCTTTAACGCAGTGAGTTTGACAAGACTTCGGAAAAGAAAGGGCTAAGCCTGGGTGCTTTTGTCCGAAGTTTGAGGAAGGGTGGGGAGAATGTGCTGGGCAGAGCGTGGCGAGCTTCGGGTCTTCTTGGCCTTCTCCCTGTGGCATCCCCCTGTCTTCGGGGGTAGGGATGCTCCTTTCTTCTGGGAACAGGGAGGGCACCTCTGCTGTGAGGGGCTGTGACCTGCTTCCGGGAAGCAGGGTGAGGAAGGTCAGAGGTTGTTCCTTGCTGCTGTTTCTCAGACTGGAGCATTTAATGCTTTAACTGTACTGGGGCGGGGTGTCCTGAGCCCCTTCAGTTAGTTAGGCCCATGGGGATGATAAAGAGGACTAGGAAGCCACCCCTCCCCAGACCTGAGCCCTGATGGAGGAAAGCGTGACGTTTTGCTTACCAAAATGCAGCCTTCTTTTTCTCCTTCTCACTCTGTTTGTGAGGAAGAGATTGCCTTTTGCCTTTCCAAGGCCTGAGGCTGATGGCTAGGTGTCCAGTCTGTCCCATTAGCCTGTGTTGTTTTCCTTGAGCTCCACTCTTAGGGGAGGTGGGCAGGACAGAAGTCAGCTCCTCCCTTGGAACAAACTTTCCTAAGGTCCTCAGCTCTTGCTGCAGGACGTCACCCAGCTTGGTGGGTGGTGCATTTGGGCTGTTGAGTGTTTATTTATTTTTGATTCATACCTAGTCTACTGACAGCCTGGAGGTGAAGAGAATCATGATTAGAGGCACTAGGCTAACCGGGTAGTGAGGAGACCCAAACGGTGCTTGCAAAGAAAGACAGCTGACTTAGGGGGCAGGGAAGCCCCATTGGTCAATGGGAAAGTCCAGCTGGAGGGAGGAGGCCCAGCCATGGACCCGAGTCCAGCTCTGCCCCCAGGACATGTTCAGACGCTGGAAGAACTTTGCTTTTTGTTACTTTCAGACATCCTTGGAGTTTTCTCACTGTGAAGGGAAATCCCTCTTCTTCGGTGGAAGACCACATTGAATATCATGGTAATCTATAGTTAGTGTGAGCCCTGGGTCCCTCCAGTGTGTTTCTACCCAAGAGGCCCTGAGTCTTTCTGAGCCCAGGTCTTTCCCTCAGCACGGCAGCCCAGTAGAGTGACCAGCACTGACCTGGCCATGTTACTTGGAAGTGGCAATGGTCCATGCTGACCACAGGTCAATCATACATGATAACTTGTACATTTCCAGAGAAGTCTTCATTGACTTATTCTAAAACAAAGTTGTGGCTCAGAAAAGATAGGAGCTGAAGGGGAGGCAGCAGGGCCAAGATGTTGAGCTTGTCAGACCTGGAGATGGCTTAGGACACATGGTGGTGGTCCCCTCTGTCCAGCTGTGGGGAGCACTGATGGAGGCAACCCAGGGAGGGAGTCAGACTATGAAGAAAGGTGGGCTCCAAACCTGGGTTTATTAGGACTTGTGTCTGACCTTTCAGAACAGAAACAAAAGAATGAATAATAATCCACATTCCAAGTGAAAAGAATGCCCTGATTAATGGAAAAAGCTTCTTTTTAAAGAAATGGCTGCTGGCCCGTGGGCGTAGAGGTTTCCCTGTCTTGGAACCCCACCATTTGAATCTGGGTCTTCCTGGTCGATTCTCTGACAGGACACCGAGGCTCTGCGACTGCCCGGGTATTCAAACTCTTCCGGACAGAGCATGGAGAGTACTTCAATGTCTCCTCATCCAGTGAGTGGGTCCAAGGTAAGAAGCTGTGGACATCCCAAGACCCACAGGGTGATGAAGGCCAGGAACCATGGGCTATGCAGAACAAGGGTTTTCCTTGCAGAAATAGGTTACAGACTCAACTAGAAATTTGCAACTGCAGACTGTCTTTAATTAATCAAACCACACTGGAGAATAGGCCAAAAGGATGGTTAAGGTTGGAGTTTCATGTCTGTAACGGTCCATGGCATTCAGTTTAGTTGACAGAATGCCATTTGCTACATGGCAGGCAATGGCACTGACCAGGACACAGACCTGGACAGAACCTGCCCATCACAGAGCCTCCGATGGTGTGCAGAAAGCAGCAAGTCTAGCAGTAGTGCTTGGATAATGAGCTTACAGATAGGTTTTCTCCTTTGTGTTTATTTGGTTTTGCAATAACAAGAACTATATATTGCTTAATGAAAAAAGAAAGTCAACAGAAGTGGTTTTTTGTTTTGTTTTGTTTTTTGTTTTGGTACCAGGGATCAAACTTGGGACCTTGTGCTTGTGAGGCAGGAGCCAGAACCACTGAACTAAATCCCTGGCCCAACAAGAAGTGTTTTTAATGGAAAGGCAGACAAGATAGGAGACTTGGCAGGTTATTTAGAAGCACATTTACCCCTGCTGCTGCAACCATGGACAGACATCTGATCCTGTCTTTGCTTTCTGCCTAGATGTGGAGTGGACGGAGTGGTTCAACCATGATAAAGTGTCTCAGACTAAAGGTGGGGAGAAAATTTCAGACCTCCGGGTAGCTTACCCAGGAAAAATCTGCAACCGCCCCCTTGACATACAGGTACCAAATTCCCAGTGATCAATCGTTAGGGAGGCTTTATTATGAAGGAGATGCTATAGACTGAAAAATGCCTTGTCACCTATGCAGTGTGACTCTCCTGGCCCTCCTCCCTGTGATGCAGATGAATCAGAGAGTTCCATTCCCTCCTTAGAGACCGAGGCAGAGGCTCATTGCTGCCCAAAGCTAAGACTCGGTTCTTTCCTGGGTCTGCTCCTTCTCCTTCACCTGCTACTGCAGCTGCAGCCGACAGGGCCCAGACCAGGGTTGACTTAGCCTGCCCACCTCACTTCTTGACTGGCTTTCTTTGGGCCCCTGAGCTCACATACTGTGGCTAGCATTTGGGGTGCAGGCTGAGCCCAGCCCAGGGAGAAAATGAGCACAGCCATGTTCTCTATAGAGTGAAATAAAAGCATTCAAAGAACAGACCGTATGTTGCTCAGGATCCTCACCTGGAGTTCATTCTGTCCCAAGGACAGCTCAACCTTCACAGGTGTCTCCATCAGGAGTGACACTCGAAATTCAGCAGCTTAGGAGGCAGAAACTGGGGCTGTTCAGATAGCAGGAAAGCCAAGGGACGTGGGCTAAGTAAATGGGGTTTATTTCCTTACACCAGGTCTTGTACCAAAGCAAGTTTTGAGGCCATTTTAATACTTGATCTAGAATTAGAAGTCATTTGAGAAAGATGAGTCCTGTCCATTTTATCCTCTTTCAGTAAAAAAAAAAAAAACACAGTTGGCTCTCTGAGCCTGCAGGCCTCACAAACAAGGGTTCAGCCACCCAGGGAGCAAAAATATTTGGGAAAAAATTGCATCTGTACCGAACATGTATAGATTTTTCCTTCTTGTCATTATGCCCTGAACAGTACAGTTTATCAACTACACAGCTTTACAGAGTGTGAGGGATTGTAAGTTATCTGAGGATGACTGAACACACAGGAGGATGTGTGTAGGTGATATTTTAATTCCATGCCCTTGATACAAAGGACCTGAGCATGGGCAGACTCTGGTACTAGTGGGGAAATCCTGGGAGTTCCCCGGGTACACCAAGGGGCAAGAGCAGTGACCGACGTTTGCCAACACCTCCAGGTCACCTCACCAGGTGGTCTGACTGTGCCCTGATCCTGCCACACTGTCCCAGGCTGCTCTTTCACCTCCACTTGCACTGAAGCAAGATGAGGAATCTTGGCCAGGGCTCCATCCTACACTGAATGAAGGCCAAGGAAGCCCTGCTCATCGCTTGGCTCAAACTCTTCCTTTCCCATGGCTCCATGGTTATGAAGAAGGATTTGCCCAGATTAGGTTGCAAGTTGCAGGCTCTTCTTGGGTCCAAAAGGATCAAACACCACTCACTCTCCCAAAGCACAGACTTCCTAGATTTAATTGAACTTTTCTCCTGCAGCCTTGAACATTCCAGTCTTAATTCTGAAATAGCCATAATCTTATCTCTTCGATGCCCTGGACCACAGGATATTTAGTTCCTTACCAGCTCCCCTCTCCAGATATTTCTGGAAATCCTTTAGGAATGCTTTTCTGGTCTGGTGGATCCCTGCTGGAGTTTTCTCTACCAGCTGCCTAACTCCAGGACACTGCTGATCAAAGGTGACTTCTGTGCAGCAGGTGAACAGCTTTCCTGGGGCCTTCTACTCCAGCCTTTGCTCTGCTCCCAGCCCACACATGGGACCCAGAGCTTTGTTAAACCTTAGCTGAGAGCACACACACCAGACTTCCTTGGTGACCCACATCACACCCTGTCACCCTGTGCGCAGCCATGTCACAATTTCTCCCCCCAAAAAGAGCATCCCTGACAAAGCGTCCCTGTGTTCAAGTTCTCAACCATTTGAGGTCCAAGGAGAATAAAAAACCAAGCAATAGTTTTCCCCATACCCGAGGCTTGGACCAGCTTTCCCAAAGTGAGTGGCTTCATTCTATGAAAATATTCTGCCCAGCATTGTAGCCCCTCATTAATTCAAAGTTCCCAATTCCATGATGGGATCTTTGTTTTGTCTCTGCAAAAGCCTGTTGAAGGCAGTCACCTAACAAACAGCCTGAGGCCATCTCTAGAGCCAAGGAGGAAGTACTGCCTGGATGTCAGCTCCTCACTGGTGATCTGTAGTCCCCAGGACCCAGTAGCCAGAGCATCGCCTCTCACTCACAGTGGGTAAAAGTGGCAATGTACAGTGTACTCCTGGCCTGGTCAGCCCCAAGGTTGGGGAAGGGAAGCCAGCCCTGTTCTGGCTCTTGCTCACTGGAGGTGACACTGGCCAGAAGCAGTGCTCTAGCTAACTACCCCATAGGCAAGGTGGAGGGGAAACGGACTTCCCGTGCCGGCTCCGGCCCCTCTGGGAAACCAGCTTGTCCTCCCTCCCCTCTGCCCAGGACTATGCCACACTTACTTCACACTGTGCTTGCCCCAGGGCCTTGAGCCCTGTTATACAGACAGCGAGTCACTGGGACACCTGTGGGCACAGCACTCAGACCCTCTGGGGAGGGGTGTCAGGGCCTCAGAGCAGGCAGCCTGAAGCAGCTGGTCTGGCCCACATGACTTCAAGGAAACCTTTCCAAGATCTGATATCTCATGTTTCTGCAAAAAAAAAAAAAAAATACACCCCAAAACAAAATAAAAACACAACCACTCTTTCCAGGTCTTTGCCCTTCTTTTGGTTCTCCTTGGCTGAAGACCCCCTTGCCTCCCAGCCAAGGATGGACTCTTGGGATGGGGTGGGCACCTCAGGTGCCTTTTGTTTCCCCACAGTAGTGGTGCAGGGGCTGGAGGTTAAGCTAGTGGTCAGAAGAATGGGTCTGGAAGCCAGAGAGACTGAGTTTGCAGAGGTCACCTCTCCTCACCTGGAGCTTCAGACCCCGCCCTCCAGGTGCTGTGTTTAAGGGGGTACTGCCTCTCAGGTGCCCATTCTGCATTTGCATGATCCTGGGAGGGAGTGTTGCCTTAAATGTGGTGCCCTAGATGACTTGCTCACAATCCTAGCCTTATTCTTTAACTTTGTGCCTCAGTTTTTTCACATGCAAAAATGGGGGATAATAATTATTCCCTCATGAGAGCCTTCTGTGAAATAATGCGACAGTTCACGAAGTACCAGAGCCATGGGGAGTGCTCTTGATTTGAAATTGGTTTTATTGATTGTTTATTATAATAATTTTTTGTGGGGGGATACTGAGGATGGAACTTGGGACCTTGCGCTTGCAAGGCAGGCGACGGAACCACTGAGCTAAATCTCCAGCCCTATAATAATTTTAATTGTTTTACTATTATAAGCATGAATAACAATAAACTTATGTCCACTTAAGGTGGAGATCCATTTCACTAAATGGTGATAGATCCCTTTTTGTTTGTTTGTTTGTTTTGGTTTTCTGAGACAGTGTCTCACTATGAGATTCAGACTAACCTTGTACTGACTATGCAGCCCTCAAACTCACAGTGATTCTCCTACCTCAGCCTCTCGAGTGCTGGGATCACGGGCATGTGCCACCACTCCTGGCTCATAACAGATCCTTTTTTCTTCTTCTTGTCCAACACTAGGGTTGTTCTTCAGGTAGAGAAAAAAGAAAAGCAGAATTGTTCCCTTGAAAGTGTTGTTGTACCTTAGAAAACATCCAGCTTCCCTGGCAACGTTTCAGGCCAGGTTCTCCATATGTTAGGGTCTGCTAAAGACCATGTCGGGGTCAGGGGGTCAGATGGCCTTGAGCTTGGGTCTGATCCCAGTGGAGCCTTAGTGGTTTCCTCTAAAAGCCTGATTACAGCCTTGCCCCTGACTCTGTGGAGACGCCCCATGATAATTGGTTTGAGTGTGTTGCTTGCAAGAAAGGCCTCAATTTTAGCTATAAATTTCACCACACACAGCTGCATGATCCTCAAGACAAAATATTTGCTGGGTCTAAACAGTGTTTCCCAAAAAACATTGTCTGCCTCTCTTTTTAAAGATTAGCTTTACTTTCCCCTCTATCCCTCAACCCTGGTCCCTTTGGTTTCTGTGCCAAAGATGACAGCAACTGTGGCCTTGCTGTAACTTGCGTCTCTGAATGGCAAGCTTGGTCTTGAGGCAGACACACTTGGCAGGTGTGATCTGGCTCGCAGGGTCCTGCCTTCCTGTGAGTCTGTTTCCTAGATGCCCCACCTGGCCGCATAGCTTCTTGCTCATCAGCCCTCATTGACTGAGACCTACTCTGTGCCAGGCCCTGGGGCCAGGGAGACAGGCAAAACCCTGCTCTTGTCCCTCAGTACCTCTGCCATGGGCAGGGACTGGCCTTTGAACAATGGACAGCAGGATGAGGGGTTTGAAGGTGCAGTGGGGAGAGGCTCAGAAGCCTCAGCCTTGCAGTTAGGTTCAACTGGGTTCAGGTTGTGCTCTGTCACTTACTGGCTTTTTCACTCCACCTCTCTACCTGTCATCTTCCTCATTGGTGGCACCAATAATAGCCTCTTGATTTTGCTGTGAGGATGAAATGGGGTGTATGTAAACACTTGGGTCCTGAACCCCAACAGTGTTCCTCCAACTTCACAGTCCACTAGAATCACCAGGGCAGCTTCTAAACACCTGGAAGCTCATAACTGAACCTGAGCATCTGAGGATGGAGCCTGGGCCTTCGGTCTTTAGAAGCCTCCCGTGTGATTTGGTAGCCTGTCTGGGTACCACAGGACCAAGCACAGTGAGTCCTCAGCTGATGAAATTATACCTGGTGCATGGTGGTGGTGGTAGCCAGGCTAGATTCTGAGCACCCACTGCAGGGTACTCGGTGAAAAGCCCCTGTGTGGATATGGGGCTCTGCAGGACCTGGGAAAGGCCTTTGTCCATTCTGAGACATCATGCTGCTCTCGGATAGCAAAACTCCTGTGGGCACCTGGGATGATCACCTTGGCCTATTGTAAATAGTTTTGCAGCAAAGACAATTTTAGCCTTTTAAGTATAGAACGAGAACATTAATCATCACCTTCTTTCTCTGTGATGAGAAAAATGACTTTGCTCTGTGATTTCTGTGCCTCTTCCAGGCCACTACAATGGACGGAGTCAACCTCAGCACTGAGGTTGTCTACAAAAGGGGCCAGGATTATAAGTTCGCCTGCTACAACCAGGGCCGAGCCTGTCAGAGCTATCGTGTGCGCTTCCTCTGCGGGAAGCCTGGTGAGCAGCCCTCTTCCCTGCACGGTGTGGGTGTGGGTGTGGGTGACAGGTCTGCTGCCAGGCATTGCAGTGACAGTGCTCCTGCTGTGCCCAAGGTGGATGGCACACTTGTGTGACACAGGGCAGTGGGAGGGGCTTCGGAGCTGTCCGCTCAGCTCCACCCTCCCCACAGGCCTTTCAGGAAGGGGAAGGCCCTGGCTCCAGGACAGCAGGGTACAGGTGGACAGCACAGACTCCCCACACCCTCCAGCACAGATGCACCATTATTTGCCTCTCTGGGTGCTGTGATTTCAAACCCAGAGCCAAGGTGCTGGTTAGAAGGGAGGGGGAGTGGTTGGTTTGCTCTAGGAGGACGTGGCCATGTCTAGAGGATGGTCATTAGGGTCAGGACTTCTGCAGGGGAGAGGCTTACAGTTCCTGTAAATAACAGTTGAGAGGAACTATATTTGTTTTACATCTTGAGCAAAGTGGGTGTGGTAAGGCAGCCACATTTAACTCCTCTAAGAAGTTAGTGGAAAATTCCCTCCCCAGAGCTAATGAATGGCTCTTCTCTGGTTGGGTTTTTGTTGACTTCAAAACCTTGCACCAAGACAGATGGAGGGAGCTGGTGATTTGGGGTTTGGAGAGGCAAACCTGGCATTTGCTTATTCAGGAGGGAGAAAGGAAGATGTGGACAGCCAGGAGTTTGCCAAGCAAAGGGCTGTGTCTCAGTCCTTCCTGTTTTGGTTACAGTGAGGCCCAAGCTCACAGTCACCATCGACACCAACGTGAACAGCACTGTCCTGACTCTGGAGGATAATGTGCGGTCCTGGAGGCCTGGAGACACCCTTGTGGTCGCCAGCACTGACTACTCCATGTACCAAGCAGAAGAGTTCCAGGTGCTGCCCTGCAGAGCCTGTGCCCCCAACCAGGTCAAAGTGGCAGGTAGGCCTGCACCCACTTTCCAGCCATGATGGCTCTGAACACTTCCAGACTGAGAGTAAACAGAAGTTTTGACAAATCTGTATCAGTCAGCTATGACCAGAATAATGATGTGTAACAAAATACCCTACAATCCCATGGAAGGAGTTTGCTTCTTACATCTACATGCATCTCTAGACCAATAATCTAGGTCGATTATTTGTAATGGAAGACATTGTGTATCAATTAAGGTGCTTGTGTTGTGAGCCACAGAATTCAACCTATGAGAGGCAAAACAGGAATGATTGGGATTCATCTTGGGGCTAGACTAGGATTGGGAGGGCAGAGAAGCAGAAGGACAAGGAGCAGGGCAGCCTCCAGGTCCAGGGTAGCAGGAGATCATGGGTGCCGCCCCGAGAACACTGCTGTCTTTAGGAACTGTGCTTGGTCCGGGGACACTGTGCTTACAAGTCACCTCCAGGGAGGGCATCTGACTGTGCTGTGGCCAGGACAGAAGCACTACTGGACATCCTAGACTGCATCACACGGAGGAAGAGCTGCTCCCCGGGGGAGCACCAGGCTGTGCCACCACAGAAAGGGGCACCAGGACTGGACACTGGGTTACCACGTGCTACCGAAGCAGAGCACTTTGGGATGAGAGGCAGACTCAGAGTTGAGAAAGCCATCCCGTGTGCTCCAAATATCAAATAAACCTACAGGAACTAAAACTCAATGTGATCTTTTAGCTGACTGAGATGTGCTCGAGAAGGAATGTGAGGGCACACTTATAAAATGGTGGAAAATGGTGATGGCATTTAATACCTTTATTCTGTTCTCAGCTATCACATGACTAAGACAGTCCACAAACGCCACAGCTGTGGTCCCAGGGTGCTCGTCCAGAACTGGAAGTCTGCAGGGGAAGGCCGTAGTGTTGCAATGGCTGGGGAGAAGGCATCTTGATGAGTGTGTCTAGAGAGAAGCAGAGGGCCGTGGCAGCGTGCAGGTGGAGGCCGGGATGATCACATGCTTGTCCTTGACAAAGCAAGAGAGGCGGCAGTTTAAAATGACAATGTCTGAACCCCTGTTTGAGAAAGGCATTGGAATAGCTCACCCTAAGCACAAGTCTGAATGACTTTGACAACAGTGTGTGTATAGTGGGGGTGGAACATATTTAAGTGTAAAAGACATAGGAGAATAAATTCAGCAAATGTGGAGGGAGACTGGGGTTAGCGGAAGCTCAGGAAATAAGCCATGCTGTTTATCTATGAAATTCCGGGTAGCCAAAGCAGAGAAAGAAAATTAACACATTATTTACCTATCCTTACCCAATAAAAGAAAGGAGACCACAGACGAAGAGGGGCACGTTCCCTTGGCTCTGAGCTCCTGCCAACTTCATCACAAGGGCTGTCACGTGAAGGAGGGGTACAGCAATGTGCATGGCAGCTCTGGAGCAGCTCACCACGCAGCAAAGCTCTGTGCGCGGGGCACTGCGCTTCTGCTCACTTGCTGGATGGGCCCCGCGTTGGGCATATTACACAAAGACACTGAAGAGGACAGTTTTGCTTCTGTTTTTGTCTGGGAAAAGCAGAATGGCAAACAAAGTGTAAAGAACTCAGGCCGCAGAACCAGGCATCCATGACCGGAATCCCAGAAATGCCAGTTATTAGCTATGAGACCGTAAGCAATTAAAAAAACCTCTGTACCTCAGTTTCCTCATCTGTAAAAGGGAGATATGATCATAACTACTTCATGGGGCAATTGTGGAGATTGAAGAGGTTCATGTGTGTACTCAAATACTTGCTGGTACATAGTAAGTTCCCAATAAACTGTAATTATTAATTATTAACTGTAATTATTAGAAGTATTAGATGCAATAATACGGCAGCTAGGCTTAATGATAGGACGTGGCTGGTGGGCAGTTGTTGAACCTTGTGAATTTCTTAGCTTATCATTTCTGCTCTTTTGGGACATGCAGGTATAGGGTGTTTAGAGGGAGAGAAGCAAACTCTACCATCTTTTTTTTTTTTTTTTGTACGGGGATTGAACTCAAGACCTTCCGCTTTCGAGGCAGGCGGCAGAACCGCTGAGCTAAATCCCCACCTCTCTTTCTACCATCTTTACTGACCAACACATGAGGGCTGTGTGGGCCTGTGGTTATTTTCCTGCCTGCCTTCATGCGTCAAGGAGTGGGTGGCAACTCTTCGAATGCATGCACCATGCCCTTCCTCTGCCCCAGTCTGGGTAGCTTCCCCCAAGCTTCCTCTACAGGATCACACAGAAGTCACTCAGCAAGTGGTTAAAGAGCATGTGTCAGATGTGCCAGGCCAAGTGCCAGGCCTCGGATGCTGTGGTGAGCAAGATGGACGCCTCCTCTGCCCTCAGGGAAGCTGCAGTTCAGCAGGGAAAACACACATCCATCAAGGAACCACTCCCATAAAAACAAAACTCCCACTGTGATAACTGCAGGGAAAGCGGAAGAGTGGAGGTGCCCGGAGCAAGGACGAGGGCCCTGGCAGAGTCAGGGCCAGCGTGGGAGCCTTCCTGGAGGAATCAGTTGCTGAGCCAGGAGCTGGAGGGAAGTGGAGGGACAGAAGGGCTACGGGGAAGAGCGTGATGTGGAGACCCTCTCCGGGGAGCAGGGAGCCTCACCAAGAGGAGCACCAAAGCAGCTGGAGTGGGGAACATGGGAGCTCACGGGGCTGCAGAAAGACGAGGAAGCCACAGGCCAGTGCACGAGGAGGTCACTGAAGGCCAGGAGCCTGGTGGGCACTAAGACGAGTGAGTTCTCAGTGATTGTTGGACCCTTTAGGTCTTTGGGATGACTTGTGTGTCAGCCAAGAGTGCATTGTGGAGTCTTCTGGCTGTCACGGGTGGCACTCAAGTGGTTTGGGTTGATGTCACTGCCCGTGGCTCTGGGCAGTGTCTGTGGTGCCTGAATGTCAGAAAAGCCCAACCTGAGCCCTTGCCTATGTTGAGGTAGAGAGGGGGACTGGGGAGATCTTTTGAGTCCTGAGCCTGGGCTGGGTGCCCCATGCCTGGAGAGGAGATCTGACTCTGAGCAGGTCCTCACAGGTGCCCACTGTGGCCTGGAGCCTGAGGAGGTCCTAGCAGGGCGTGTCTGGGTCCTGCTATGGATGTTGACACTGAACTGCTCCTCCTGTCTGGGATCTACCAATCGACCTTCTGCCTCTGAGGCCCCTTGTGGCTGAAACAAGAGTGGCAGGGCTACTTTGGGCCCTGGGTGCCTAGGGAGGGAAAGAGAAGTGGGGAAGAAGCCAAGTCCCTGTCAGACACCCTGGATTCCAGCTCAGCACCGCCTGCGTCTGACTCTCCTGGCCACCTCCCTCTCCCTTAGAACTGTGGACCCTGTGCTTTGCTTAATGCTGTGGTCCCATGAAAACAGCACCTGTGAACACATCAGAAAGCCCCAGGAAGCATGGTCGTTCTGTCTGCCTGTCCTGGAGAGGCTCCCATTCCTCTTGTTTGACCTGAGCCCTCCCTCCAGCACTCCATTCCCGCCACCGAGCAAAGACTCTGACCACCTCTCTCACCTCAGGCCCTGCCTTGCCCCTGGCAGCTCTCGGAGTCGCCTCCCCAGGCTGGCTACGGAGTAGACACATCCTCCTCCCACAGAGTCCCCAAATTCCAGTAAACAGCCCTTTTTGCATTTTAAGGCTTTTCTGATGGGAAACAGATGGAGGTAGCAAAATAATGATAATTTGTGAATCATCTAAAAAAATATTTCCAAGTTTTGCCAACCACTGTGTGATTCCCCACCCCTGCCAACATGGAGGTAGCAGTAGAAAATCTCTCTGGTTTGGCTGTTTTCATCACCACCTTCCCACTTTGCCTGTAAACACCCCACAGCTTTACATAACCATGGCGCAGTAGAAAGGATATTTATTGGGTTTTCCATGATGTCCCAAGAACTTCAGGTAAACCAACTCGTCCATCTCTGTGATAACCCAATGCTGTGGGCGCCGCTTTCCCCTTCATGGCTGGGGTAGAGACCAAGGGTCCCTGGACACCAGATGGCCAGACTCGGGCTTCCCAACGTGGTTGCCACATGTGTGGTTGCAAACATCCAACTAAAATGATCTAAAACCTAAGGTTCCCTCCCTTAGTCATGGTCGTCAGGTTCCAAGTGCTCAGTACTCACATGTGCCTCTGGGTTCACCTCAGGAACCCAGAATGGAGCATCTTGGGTGTAGAAGGTGTCTGTGGGGCTGATAGTGTAGGCCAAGCGAGTCAGGACCTGAGCCAGGATTCAAATGAGAGCCCCCCGCCCCTGGCTCCCGGCCAATGGGTGCTCTTCTGTCCTTCCTCCACAATCGCCTACTCCCACCATCCCCCTCGGGGAGTGACCACAGGGGGTTTAAACCTGCCCCTGTGGGGCCCCTACCCACGTCCTGGGCTTGTCCTTGTAGCCAATGGTCTGGAAAGGGAGATCCCACCTCCCCTGGGCCCAGATATACTGGGATCTCCTAGTCTGAGGGACCAGCATACACATTTATTTCTCCCATTGGGAGGTCTTGGTGTTCATCCTGTGGACCCCAGAGTACCTGATTCTGTGCTTTGCCATCAGCAAGCCTTGCGAGATGTGGAGCAGGTGCTGCCCTAGGGGAACATGGGGAAAGGCCAGTGTTTGCAGCCCCTCTGCTCCCCAGGTGGCCTCCTCCCTTAGCCTTTGCAATCATTTGGGACAACTCTGGCTTGGCCAGCTCCAGGCACCAGTGCTGGAGAAGGAGGGGAGGGAGGAGGCCAGTGGGAGAATTCCACAGACAGGCTGGAAAGCCAGGAGTCAGACACATGCTGCCCTAGGAGTCTGGGAGTGGCCTGCGAATGTACAGGCTGCACAGATAAACCTGCCACCGAGCTGACAGCCAGGGATTTTGAAAAGACCTGATAAAGACTCACAACAGTGGGAAAGGAAGCTGGAGCCGAACACTGGGGCAGCTGCTGTGTCCGTCCACCTGGTGCTGCCTCGCTCCCAGGGCTGGAGGAGCACAGCCCCGCTCGCACTTTGACTGGCTTTTCCCACAGAACGAAGCTGTCCAAGCTGCTGTCCCAAAGCCCTGTCATTCAGGCCTAGATTCCAGCCTTAACCTGGGGCAACACCGGAGGCAGCTATCTGCTAGTCCTGTTGGGCTTGGCCTACCCTGTCCCAGCGGTTGTTTGAAGAATGTTCGGTAGATTAACTCACTTCACAATTGTACTGCCTTTTAGGATAATGCTATTATTATCTCTGTTTCATAGATGAAGAGCCTGAGGTTCAGGGAGCTTAAGTTGTGCGCTCAGGAACACAGCAACAAGCTGAGTTGCACAGGAAGCTCTAGATCCAGCAGCCTCCCTGTCACCCTCCCCTACCCCTCCGGAAGGCCCTCTGGCCACCCACAGGCACAGAAACCTCTGACCCGGTCCGGCTGGGATGCCATGCTTTGGGGAGAACTGAGCGCGGGTGGGCGTGGGCCCTGAGCAATGGTCAGAAGGCCCAGGTGTGTGGCCTGGATTTGGGGAGGACCAGCCCACTACTGGCTCTGCTGAACTCTGCAGGACAGGGCAGGAAAGGCCAGTGCTCAGTATGTTTGTGAGTTTCCTGGGGAGACATGGAGCTGGGTCTTGAAGGGCAAGGAAACAGGCTGAGCAAGGGTGGACTCAGGGCTCGCTGGGCAGAGGGGGGATGGGGGAGGGGGCAGAGAAAGCTGAGGGAGCTGGGGTTCTCTCCACCTGTCTGGGGAGCCCATTTTGGGCCCTGGCTCACTGGACTGAGCCCAGCCCTCAGAGTCACTCCTGTGCAGTCTGCTCCAAGCTGTATCTCCCAGAACCCAAGCCTGCACCTCCTACTCTCAGCTTTGGCCAGTTCACAGATCGCCCTGAGCTGCCTCTGGACACTGAGCTCTTCTTGGGCTGTCAATTCTTCCTGTGTCTGGAGAATGGCTCAAAGCAGTGTTGCTGGGCTGAGGAGGACTTTGGGATTTTCTCTGAGCTTTTCCAGTAGTGCTGTCCTTTGCAGTGTCCACTAATAAAGAAAATAAACTCTGATCCAGCAGAGCCAGACACATGGCTCTTAGAAGACCAGGATCCTGGAAGTCTGAAGGGAAAGATGCAAAGAAGGACTGAATCTTCCTGGCCTGCTTATCTGCACAGAGCACCTTAGGCTGGGTGGCTTGGAAGACCGGGGCAGGAAGAGAGGCAGAGGTGCTGAACATCCTCGGATCTCCATAACCATCCCCAAGATCTGACAAGGGAAACACAATGAAGAAAAGTGTGTGCAGACAGCATTAGATGTGCAAGAGATTGGGTCATGCTGCATGGAAGATCACAGGAAGAGGGTACAGGAGCAGATATAGGGAGCCATGGTGCAAATCTGATGCCTGTGATGCACAGGAAGGTGGAAGGGTGGTCAGGTAAGAAGAGCCATAGGCCAGGGCTACAGGGGCTCTGAGAAAGCTGGGTGGCTAGAGAGAGCTCCAGAGTAGAGACCGCCTAGCAGGGAGTCCCTTGTGATGCAGAAATGGCTGACTTCAGTATCACTGCCACATGTGCAGTGGCAACCATGACCTTGGGGAAAACAGGTGGATCATGGAGATGTGGCTATTGGTGGTATGCTCCCTACACTCTGCAGCAGGCACTCTTGCAGAGCAGTCTCAGCAGCACACGCCCATGGCCACTGGAAGAGAGGACCTCTATGACAAGGTGACCTGTCAGTCCTTGAAGTCAAGGATGTGTGGAGAGTAAAGAGGTTCTAGAAGGAGGGGTCTCCTACCTTCATGAGGTGTAGTCTTCAAGTCATAGATGGAGGCTTCCAGGAAAGATGTGGCTGCAGTGCTCACACTGCCCCAGGCGGAGCCTGGGGTGACAGGAACAGCCTTGCACAGTCTTGCCCCATGCTCTCCTCAGCTCAACAGCAGATAGCAGCAGGAGCCCTGAGCACCACCGGACCCTCCACTTCCACAGAGGGAAACCAGGGAGCTGGCCCTGGAGCTGTGTGAGTCAAAGCCTTTGTGTGTGAGTCTCCATGGTTAGCGATGATTAGAGCCCATTTCTAGCATCTCCTGCGCTGAACACCCATTTTCCTCATCAGATGTACGCCTGGTGCAGCCTCCTGTCTGGCTCCTCCAAGCCATGGCCACTTAGATGCCATTCGAAGCTCTTGGGGGACAAACCCTGCCCTCCATACCTGGGAGGGAGCTGGATGAGCTGAATGGAAGGAGAGGCTTCCACCTGAGTGGCCAGAGGGAACCCTGATCTGGACCTTGAAAGTAGAGACACAGAGCCCTATGTATAGTCTGGATTTTTAATGTTGCCTGGAAGTCCATGTGTTAAAGACTGGGTCCTCAGCTTGGTGCTACTGGTAGGTGGTAAAATCTTTAAAAGTGGGTCTAAGGGGAGGTATTAGATCCCTGGGGATGAGCCCTGGAAGGGGATTGTAGGACTCTGGTCTCTTCCTTTCTGTTTGTTCTCAGCCATGAAGTGCATAGGCTTCTTCCTCCACCACACACTGCTGTGATGTACCGAGTCGCCACCGGTCAAAAGCAATGGGTCAGTCAGTCACAGACTAAAACCTCTGAAAATAAGAGCCAAAGTAAACCTTCCTTTATTATTTATTTATTTATTTATTTATTTATTGTTTGAGACTGGATCTTGCTAAATCACTAAGTTGCACAAGGTAGGCTTGAATGTGTGATCCTCCTGCCTCAGGCTTCCAAGTGCTAGGGTTATAGATGTTTGCCACCACATTCGACATCTTTCCTCTTTTTGTTTTTGGTACCGGGAATTGAACTCGGGTCCTTGTGCTTTCACAGCAGGCAGCGAAACCACTGAGTTAAATCCCCAGCCCTATCTTTCCTCTTTTGAAGCTGATTTTTCTTGAGCATTTTTATAGTAACAGAAATCTGACTAATGCTAGGGCTGTTTTTAAGAAGAATTCTGTGGCTGGCTGAATAATGGCCTTGAAAGAGATCCTCCTAATCCTCAGTACCTGTATGTGCCACCTTACAGCCAAAGAAACTTTGCAAATGTGATCAGACTAAGACTCGAGACAGGAGATTTTCCTGGCTCACCCCGGTGGGCCTGTGTAATTTCAAGGGTCCTCAAAAGCATGATGAAGAAGGGTTTGAGAGGAGGGAACGATGTGAAGACAGAAGCAGAGATTGGAGTGGTGTGTATTGAAGATCGAGAAGGGGCCACAGGCCAGAATACAGCCCTAAAATCTGCAAAAGGCAAAAACAGATTCTTCCCTGGATCCTCCACAAGCAAGCAGCACTCCCAGCACCTGATGTGGGCTGCTTAAGACTCATTTAAGACTTCTGACCTTCAGGACCGGAACAGGATAGATTTAGATTGTTTAAGGGAGTAAATTCATGGTAACTTTGTTACAGCAGTGATAGGAAACTAATACCAACTGTCATGAGGTATCTTCTCAGTTTCTTCATGTATCAACTTCACAACTTGAACTAAATGCTTCAAAAAAAGTCACCAACCCACTAAGGCTGCAGAATCCCCAAACCATAAACACTCTTAGCAGAGCTCAGACTCACAGACGTGTGCCTGGAGAGGTCACACAGGGTCAGCTCTTCCTGTGGGTGAGAGGACAGAGGAAGTTCACTGTGGTGTGCTTGGGCTAATTACAACATGACCCTCACGTATGGGCCCTGGGACTATCTCAGGGCTGAAGCGAGTTCTCCATTACTTGAGGTCGTGGTGAAAACCCAGTGGGGTGGGTAGCAATGTCCAGCCTCACAGTCCACAGGGGAGGTGGTTGCTCTTTTGTAACTGCACCCTGAGAGGGAAGAGAAAGTGTCTACAAGCCAGGTCAGCAATCTTAGAGATAAGCTGAATTTTTTTTTTTTTTGGTACTGGGGATCAAACTCGGGCCCTTGCGTTTGCGCAGCAGGCAGCGAAACCACTGAGCTAAATCCCCGGCCCAAGATGAGCTGAATTTAAAGCCATGCTAAGACTTTTTTATTGTGGAAAGAAATTGGAATTGTGCTGGAGGCAGAATCCAAGGCTGCAAAGCAAAGACAGTTCCAAGTTTGAGCTCCTGTCGGCCTGTTCTTAGGGTGCCTTTTCTGCACCATTGGTGGAAGGAAAGACAGAAATGGAAATGTTAAGAGCGTGTGGCAAGAGACTGAGTGGTATGGTGGGAGGGAGAGTGGAGAGAAAATGGAGAGAGGCAGCACAGAACCCTGGTTCAGAGACCCTGGCCATATCGCTTCTCGGCCTTTTGGCTAAGAGCAAGTGCAGAATCCTGGGCACAAGAGGAAAGAGATGACAACAGCTGGAGGAGGGGAGGAGGGGAGGAGGGGAGGAGGGGAGGAGGGGAGGAGGGGAGGAGGGGAGGAGGGGAGGTCTTTTTTTGTTCATTTTTTAGGGATAGGAAGGCTCAGGGGAGTTGGACAGCAGCGTTAAGAAGTCACATGAGGAAAGAAGTGAAGCTACTGGAAGAGGAAGCTACTGGGCCTGGGGCCAACTGCACACAAAGAGGCTGGAGGGAGAGAGGGATGGGTGCAAGAGAGCAGGTGCAACTCTTCCCCCCACTCCACATCGTGTCCACAGGGCGCTGGGCATAGTGGTGGACACAGAAGTTCCTGCCTGACTCTAGATACAAACCCTATAGCAGTGATGGCGAACCTTGTAGAGCTTTCGGTCATAACAAACACCTGCTGTGGCACTCATGCCATAGGTTTGACACCACTACCCTAGAGATACTACAGACCCTACAGATACATGCTACATGCCCCATAGACAGACGCTGTAGGGACACACCCACATGAGGGTGAGGAAAGCAGAATATGGACTGCTCCACTCTAAAGCAGGGGATTGAGAGAAACAAAGATTGCTCTATTTTCTCAAGAACCCCAGCTGGTAGGTAGCCAGGCGTGCAAGCTCTGCAGGTCAGCCAGAGACCAGGTTTCTTTTCTGAAGTTCCCCTTCTGTCTTCTAGGGCAGGATTTTCCCAAGTTTAACACATCTTTCCACCCAGAGGATGTTCATAGTACTTCTGCTCATACCCTGTGGCCACGCCTAAGCACAAGGAGGCTGCGAAACACAGTTCCCCGGGCTGGCTGTGTGTCCAGCTAAAGCATAAGAGAGAGTCTAGTACCAAAGAGCCCATTTCTGCCACAGGCTTCAGCCCTAAGCTGTGGCTGTGGCTGGGAACCCTGGTTCTGCCCTCAGCATGAGATGTCACCTCCCTGAGGTTCCCTCTTCTATAAAATGCCCTGGGAGCCAAGGGGACCACTTAGTATGCGGGGCCTGGTGATAACTCATGTGCTCTTCCACCTTCCCTTTGCCCCAGGGAAGCCGCTGTACCTGCACATTGGGGAGGAGACAGACGGCGTGGACATGCGGGCTGAGGTCGGGCTCCTGAGCCGGAACATTGTGGTGATGGGGGAGATGGAGGACAAGTGCTACCCCTACAGCAAGCACATCTGCAGCTTCTTTGACTTTGATACCTTTGGGGGCCACATAAAGGTATGGGTCTGCCGGGCTGAGGCTGTCACTCCAGCCAGAAGCATTCCAAGGTGGGCAGGGGTTCCTAGGAAGGGCAGGCCTGGGTGCCTGGAACTGGAGACAGAGGTCTAAGAGGGACAGGCAGGGGTACAGTCCATGGTTTCAGCAGCTGCCAGGAGCAGCTCTGAGCTACCACCAAGGGAGCCCACGGGCATCTCTCCTCTTGCACACGAGCCACCACAGCAGAGGTTCAGGAAGTCTCTGGATCGTGTCCCCCCTCACACCCAGGAGAAGGTGGACCTGAGGTGTTGTCCACAGTCACCCACAGCCTCCATTCGCGGCACTCTGGCCATGCTTGTGGCTCCCCCAGGCTGTCCAGGGACACCCCCCTTTCTAATACCGGGTGGCTGGAAGGCAAGGAGGAAGGTCAGAGCGGCCCACTACCGTGCAGCCCCCATGGCCCCCACCCCAGCAGTCCCTGTCTTGCCGAATCCTCACCCATCAGTAAAGCCTCACTCCTCTCCCGTGGTGTAGGAAGAGCCAGGCCTCCTAACCTATGTGCACAGGATGACTCTGGTTTGCTGAGCCCCTGGGGGAACACTGGCAGTGCACCATGAGGACAGCGGTGCTGTGCTTTTGGGGTGTGGGGCAGGAAGTCCCTGGCCCCTCTGACCCTTGCTCTCCCTCCCAGTTTGCACTGGGGTTTAAGGCCACACACCTGTCGGGCGTGGAGCTGAAGCACATGGGGCAGCAGCTGGTGGGCCAGTACCCAATCCACTTCCACCTGGCGGGCGACGTGGACGAGCGGGGCGGCTACGACCCGCCCACCTACATCAGGGACCTCTCCATCCACCACACCTTCTCCCGCTGCGTCACCGTTCACGGCTCCAACGGCCTGTTGGTGAGTGCCCCAGGGCGGGTAAGGTGAGCCCTGCTGAGCCCAGATTCCAGAAGGGCCTCCCCCAAGGACAGCTCACCAGCTAGCCAGGCTCCAGAGGTGGGCAGCTAGTTAGCTGTGGTTGCTCACTGGAATGATGTGGGGTCCGGGGGTGGTTCTTTGGCACCACGTGGCAGACCTGCCAACACAGCTCTGGGTTGTGGCATTGCAGACTGACAGAGGAAGAGCATCCAGGGCCCCCCTCTGGGGCAGCAAGAATTCCTTCAGAGCCCGCCCTGAAGGGAGAAATATCATCACCAGCATGCGGCACATGGGCTGCTTTTCACAATTTTTATATCCAACTAGTCCCTCTCTAAATGGACTGAACATAAATTCTCAATCAATGTTAATGATGGATCCCCAAAAGGCCCCCTGTGAACTCAATCCCGCCACCAGAAATGTTTCGTTTGACTTCTACCTTGTTGAGGGAAACAGTTGGTAATTTTTATACCAAGTTGATAATTTTATACAGTCTGGAACTTTCTTAAGTGAACTAATACCGTCTGTAAACTGAGGTCACAGAAGGGCATCTACCAGCTGAATCCAGACACTAGATGTGCTTGGTTTGGCTTACACAGTGTCTAAAGAACCTTTGGGTTTGTTTTCCTTCATTTAAAAATGGAGACTGTGCATAAGTGTGGACCCCGGGTTCTCTTGAGCAGTAGGGGGTTGGGTGCGCCTCTACCTTCCCACATGGTGATTGGCCAGAGAAGACTGTGGTGGCACCACGCCTGACTTGCAGTCACGCTGTGTGCCCCTGGGTGTCTTCTTGCCCCTGTGGACATCTGGGTTTGTGAGCCCTGCTCTGCCCACCACACATGTGGTAACCGGCAGTGATCAGAGCCTGTCACTAGAAAGCCACCTCCAGCTCCTCACAGCATGCTCTTCCATGATGAAGGAGGTCAGTTTCTCTGTGGTCTAAGCGCAGAGCAAAGAGGAAGGGCTTTGGAGCCCGTCTACAAGGACCTGGGTTTAGGACTCGATCCCTGTGTCAGGAGCTCTGGGGCCTTGGGCAAGTTGCTTAACCTCATTGAACCTCAGTTTCCTCTTCAGTCAGGTGGTGAAATGGTGAGGATCAGTGAGATGTGAGAGTCACAGGAGAGGCCCAGACCCCGGGGCAGGACTCCCCAGCAGGTGGCCGGAGGGCTGTGCCGGAGCAGGTGCTATGGGATCTGGGATTTTTTTTTTCTGGCTCAAGAAAGAAGCAGAAAGACAGTGTGCTTGTCTGTCTGAGGCAGAAAGACAACATAATTTATAAGGAATTCAGAACATCAGAGGTGTCGTACAGCACTAAGCTTTGGCTCTGCAGCCCAACGCCCTGGGCTCCCACCTCTGCTCCACCAGTTGCCTGCCATGTGATTGGGTCTGGCATTTTATAGCTCCCTGCCTCAGTTTCCTCTTCTGTAAATTTGAGGAGGCTTCTGCTTCCATGTTTGAGAGAGCAGAGGACCTGGGAAGTGAGGAGCCTGGGGCTTGGCCTGCTCCTAGTGCCAGGGCGAGCGCAGGGTCATTGTGGAGCAAAGCTCCAGGTAGGGCCAGGACAGCACTCAAGGTAAAGACACCAGCCACACATGGGGAAGGAAGGTGGCAGGCCTGCCTGACTCTCAGGGCGTCACCTGCTATGAGCACTCATGCTAACATTTTGTCCTTAAACCTTAAATTCACTTATATTGGACATTGCTAAAGAAAAAGATAGCAGAATCATGGCAAGCCCATAATGACGTTCTGAATCTTGGGGCACACACATACACACGAACACACATCTGGACACGGACCTGCAATGCCAGGCTTGGTAACCAAGTTGATGAGGTAGGACATGGAATCCCGACCCTGCTTCATCCTTCCTGAGGTGAGACAAATTGCCACACCTTTGACACCAGATGCAGCTCAGAGATGACGCCCTTTAGCTCAGAGCTGAGCAACACAGGGCTTGTAGGCCTGGAGAAGATGAGGTCTGTGGATGGACACACACTGCATGCTCCCCAAGGGCACAGAGCTCCCCAGACTCTGCAGCCCTTCTGGGCCTCCTTTGCTTGGTGGGCGTGCTTCATTTTCTTTCTTCATTTTGCCGGAAGGATCTACCCACGGCTGACTAGTTTAGCTGACAGGACTGAAGGAGGCAAAGATAGACAAAGGCATGATTCTGGTCTAGAACACAGAGACTATGCAGCAGCATCCTGGAAGCCTTTCTGTGACCTCACCCATCCAGGGGTCTCAGATGGGCATCAAAGGCTCTAGGGAGAGTTCTGAGTTGTGCAGTGCTGAAAGATGCCTTAAGGCCCCTCCACATGGGACCCATGGGTCCTAGAAGCCCCACTCCATGGGTCTCTGTTGCTGCCTGATGCAGATGTGGTCTGTGTCCCCTACTTCTCTAAGGAGTCTCCTTGTCCTGCCTGGTCAGGTGGCTCCCTGTGATGCCAGGGTTATAGAGCAGAGTCACAGAGAAATGGAAACCTGCTGGGCCTCAGTTTCCTCCTCAGTAAAGAAAATCAACTTCAAAAGGCCCGTAGGAAGGTTAAACCACATAATACATGTGACACGTTCACACTGACATTAAACAGCTTGGTCACCTGCACCTCTGTATGTGACTGAGTTCTGAGTGAGCATTGCTGGCCCCAGGAGCAGGAGTCAGTCCTCTCAAAGCAGGGTGGCCTCGGCAGGGAGTGTCCTCCTCACACCCGGAAATCCCAGTGCACTGGGATCAGAGGCCTTCTTGTCATCCCAGCATGTGCAGTTCTGAACTCTGAGACACGAGCTGGGTAACAGAGGTGGAGGCAGGGGCTTCCTGTCCCTTCCAGGACACTTGGAGGCCATACAAAGGACTTGGTGGGCTAGGGAGGAGTGAGCAGGAGAAGAAAATATGTCCTGTCCTTTCCTACCCGGTGTACTGCTCCAAATGTCCCTTTGACAGAAATGCTTCCAACAGCAGCCAGCTGGTTGAAAGCATGTTCTGAACAGGCTGTGGCCAGGCCCTGTGGGTCACACCCCGCACAACTTGGCAGTGTAGGGGACCATGCTCATGGCTTGCAGTCTGCCCTGAGTTCTCCAGCCTTGGGGACTTCCTTGGCTTCCTCCTGAAGCCAGTGGGAGCCCCTAGTGCCCTCTCTCCAGCCTTGCAGCTTCAAAATGTGGGAGTGGCTTCTGCTTTCCTGGTTCTCACCTCTTCTGGTTCCAGATCCATCCTCTCACTGGCTACTCCTGTATTTCCTCCCCATGGGAGCTCCGGATGGGGCCCAGACACTCATCCTTGATCCTCCCAAAGCTCCCTTGGCCCAGGCTTTTCCTGGTATGCTGGGACACTGAAGAAGAGGAGGAGGGGTGCAGTGCAGATGGGCACTGAAATCAGCAGCAAGAAGGATGGAACAGGTCCCTCTCCTTAGGGGCCCTCTGCAGACCACCCGCTTCCCACAGGCTTCACCCATCCTCATCTCCTTGACATCCCTCTCCCTGCCCCTCCTGACCCACCTACTTCTCCCCTCTACTGCACTGCCTGAGAAATCCATTCCTTCTGGCTACCACCTGTAATCACAGCACTCTGGGAGGGTGAGACAGGAGAATCACAAGTTCAACCCCAGACTGGGCACTCTAACAACTTGGAGAGACCCTGTCTCAAAATAAAAAATAAATAAAGGGCTGGAGATGTAGCTCAGTGTGATGGCCTTGGGTTCAATCTTCATAAACAAACAAACCAACAAACAAATTACTCATCCTTCTCCTTACTAGGCAGAGTATTTTCCTTCTCTGTTTTCTTTTTAAGCTTCTATGTACATTTGCATATTCAAAAACTCATTAAGACACTGCAAAACAAATTATCCATCGCCCAACTCCCAGGCGCTATTCAAAAGAAATGTTTTTCACAATGGTAGAAGCTTGGAAATCAGTTTTCTTTTTAACTTGACTACACAGTAGTTATTGCTGAGTTTCTCACTGATATGTATTGTACCATACCCACCCCAGAGGGCAGGGACAAGATCCATCTTCTTTTGGGACCTAGGACCCCCTGTAAGAACCCAAATCCTCATTGCTTGAGCCCCTCATATAAAATGTCACCACATTTGCTTATAACCTATGCACACCCTTCCATGTTCAATCACCTCTAGATGATTTATAACCCTAATACCATGTAAATGCTGGTGAGTGGCTGTTACTCCATATTGTTTAGGAACTGATGACAAGGAAAACTTTGTACATGTTTTGTACACACAATTTTTAAAAAGTTCCACCTGAGATCGAACCCACAGATATGATCCTACAGACCCAAGGGACCCATGATATAATTACTTTCTGTTTGTGTTTGTTTGTTTTAAACAGCAATTTCCAGGTTTTTGTTGGAAGTCATCACCCCTGGGTGACTGTATGTCCCGGTTTGCACGGAGCAGTAGCTTTAGACCTGCCCCGTGTCACCTGCCAGCAGCCCCTTCTAGGTAGAGGGTCACACTCGTGGAGGCTGTGCTGGCTGACTCTTCCCGGGACTCTTCTTCACAATTATAAGCCTAGATCACACCTACCAACAGCTGAAGAGTTAAGACAGCTTTTAAAAATTGCTTTAATCCCAGCACTCTGGAGGCTGAGGCAGGAGGATTGCTGAGAGTGTGAGGCCAGCCTAGGCTACATAGTGAGTTCAGGACCAGCTTGAAACAAACAGAGACAGCGAGACCTGTCTCAAAAACAAAAAAAATGCTTGTATGACCTCGAGCTGTGGGGACAAATTTGTGCAAGAACGTGACAGTGGCTGGCAGGGCTTTGGGTTACATACATAAGGACTGGGCAGCCACCTGGGGCTGTTTATCCAGCTACTCTTTATCACCTGTCTATCTTCTATATGTCTACCTATCATCTCAAGCTGTGTCACAGTGTAAAAATTTAATTCTGGGAAGGATTCTAAGGAGGAATACTAGAGCTGAAGGGGACTTCAAAAGCCTTCTGATCACACCAGGCGCACGCAGGCAAGTCACACACTCTGTGGCCAAGTAACGCCTTCAGCTTGTGTCTTCTCCTCCCACCCCAGGCCTCCCCTACCACTCCTCTCCTGACTGCGCGTGCCTTGCTCGCCCATTCCTAACTGGAAGACAGCAGTGCGACCCAGCGAGGCTGTTTTCCTTCCGGAAGATGTTGAATTTGATTAGCAGACAAGTTATGCACCAGACAGATGGGAGAGATCAACTCCAGTTCTGTCCTTGCACTAGCAGTGACATGGGGGCCCCTTTCTGAGTCATTGTGTCACCGGCAGAGTCATAGTTGCGATGAGGTTCACATGAGAAAATGTGTAAAACATTTCATCGGAAATAGTTGCTTTTCTTCTAATCAGTGAGGTCTCTCCCCTCCCTGGCAATTGCAAGGGTCTGAGAGGGTTTCTTCCTCAGGCATTTGTTAGAAGAATGTTCCTAACTCATCATCCACTTCCCTTTGGAGAAGGATCGCCCGCTGTGCTGCCCAAGCTGCAAGGTGGGCAGGTGGGCAGGAGTTAGAAAGATCAGTGGAGCGGGCAGGACAAGGAGCTCCAGAACAGAGCGGGCTCCACTGGGAGGCCACCTGATGCCCTGGGTCACCCACGTCGCTCCTCCGGGTGCCACTGTCCTCCTCTGTGAATGAAGACATTGAACTTGATAGCAAAGGTCCCTGTCACACGAGCCGTGCATGTGTCCTTGCTTTTGGGCCTGGCTTGTCTTTCTAGGCTATTTATAACTAACTTCCAGTACTAACCAGCAGACAAGGGGACGATCCCATTGGATGACCTTGGCACTGGCTGAAATGGATATTGAAGGAGTGAGATTCAAGCCCACACCCTTCCCCGTGCCAGAGATGAAGGGAGGGCAGCTTGTTCAAGAGAACCAGGGCTTTATTGGAATAGAGCTGCTTGTGTGTCCGGATCCTCCCTTGTGGAGTGAATGGGCCCAGTTAAAAAAGCAAGGATGTAACCATGGCTTTGTACATGTGGGCTGTGTGACCTTAGATAAGTCCTATAACTTCCCTGAGCCTCATTTTTCTCTCCTCCAAAGAAACAGTTACTAGGGGATTTTGTAAAATTTCAGCAAGATGAAAAGTTGTATGAGGTCTACCCAGAGCTTGAACAAGAAGGGGCTTGGGTTGGGAACCTTCCAAGCTCTGACTGCCTAGGAGTCAGGGACCAGGCATTGCCCTGTGAAAGACTCTGAGGCTTTGCCCTGGATCAATACTTCTCAACCAGGGATGATCTTGTCACCCACCCCTGCTCACCCAATGGGTCATTTGGCAGGAATGTTGAGACAGTGTTGGCTGTCAGTCAAGGGGACCATCCTGGCACCTGGGGGCAGACACCAGGGATGCAGAGGGACATCTGTGGTGTACAGGACAGCCCCCCACAACACTCCTTCCTCAGTGGGTGAAGCCCTGGGCAGTGGATAGAACCCCAGGGTAGATGAGATGGCCTGGCGCTGCCTCCTGGGGAGCAAGCATCTCCTCTCTGAGTTTGGGCAGAAGTAGGCACCCGTGTATCCAGGGGGCTGCAGCCAGGGTCTGGCCAGGGACAGGAAGCTCAGGCCAGAACCCTCAAGGACCCCCCTGTTCCAAGAGTGAGTGATCAGGAAGAAGACCCCAGGAGTGCAGGGGTCCTGGAGCTTAAGGCCTAGCTCTGAGGTGGGGAAGTGACCGAGGACTGGACGGGGGCTCATGATGGCTGGGCATGCTGCTGACTCAAACCCTGGCCTCTCAGTGTAGACTCAGATCTTCTTCCCCACTGGCCCTGGGTCCCTCAAAGGCGAGGAGGAAGCTGGTGCTCCAACTCTCGCTGGCTCCAACCCAGGGCTACAGAGGTGGCTGGCTATGCATCATGGGGTTCTAGGCTGGATGTGAGCCTGCCCCTGCCCCTTGGCTGCCCCCTGAGCAAAGCGAAGCTCTCAGCATCCCTCTTGGTGCCCCTGAGTCCCTGTTAGCTGTGTTCTCGGCAGGGTAGGCACACAGGGCCTCACCCCAGGCCACCCCATGGAGCCTCAGCTGCAGCACCTCCAGGGACTTTAAGAGTCACCTTTCTGTTCCCTTGGCCTGCCCTCTCCAGGGCTACACTTGGCTCAGGCTCACTTCCAAACCCCCAGCACTCCTTACACGTCCTGGTACAGGACTGATACCTTTTAACGTTTGTTGAGCGAATGTGTGATCCCACAAGTGATGGCTGCTGAGTGAACCAGCCGTGTGTTGGCCCCGGCAGATCAAGGACGTCGTGGGCTATAACTCTCTGGGCCACTGCTTCTTCACGGAGGATGGCCCGGAGGAACGCAACACATTTGACCACTGTCTCGGCCTCCTCGTCAAGTCTGGAACCCTCCTGCCCTCTGACCGCGACAGCAGGATGTGCAAGATGGTCACAGAGGACTCCTACCCGGGCTATGTCCCCAAGCCCAGGCAGGAATGCAAGTAAGGACCTGGGCGGTGGTGGGCGGGGGCGAGGGGGAGCAGTGTCCGCGGCAGAAGGGAGGCGCCTCGCGCACAGCCCTCCTCCCTCCTCCCTCCTCCCTCTGAGCCCTGAATCTGCAAATCTGCAGAGAACCACAGTAACCTCTGCCTGGGAAGCGCTGTGCACGCTCGCTGGCTTCTCCCAGACAGCAGAGGCGAAGGAGCGGGTGCCTCTGGCAGGGAGTCTCAGACTTTGTCACAAAGGCCTCTGCCTTTTTCACTTCTGCACTTGTTGGGCCTCAGTGGACCCTTCTGGAGAACCTGGTTTTCAGATGGGCATGGCAGTGGTCTTTCCTCAGACCCACCAGGTGGCAGGTGGTGACCTTCATGACTCGGTCCTTTCTGTCCCTCCCCACAGTGCAGTGTCCACCTTCTGGATGGCCAATCCCAACAACAATCTGGTCAACTGCGCCGCGGCGGGGTCCGAGGTGAGGAGCTGTGCATCCTGAGCTCAGGGCCAGGCAGAGTGGCGGGGAGCGTGGCCTGGGTGGGGTCCTAGGACTTGGTCTCAGGGGCAGTTCTGTCACTCGGTGGCCCCGGCTAGGAGCACTCAGCACGTTAGTGATACCTGGTGATGAGAAAGAAGTTGCTTCCCCTCAGAACGGTGCCTGGCACTTCAGTGTTGTAAGCAAACATTATCAATGCCACAGACCGAGTGCTCTTATCATCCCCGCCAGTTTGGGGAAACTGAGGCAGGGGAGCTGGAGTCCCTGGGGTGCATGGGAGGGAACTGTCACCCTGCAGTGACTCTGAGGCCTGGCAGTCAGCAGTCAGCACGGTGGCTCACAGAGAAGGACTCTGGAGGACTCTGATGGGAGAGTCACTCAGCCCACTCTGTGTCTTCTGCCCGGCCTGGGAACCACAGAGGCCACAGAACTACATCCCCTAGGCCACCCCTTGGTCCCTTGCCCAAAGCTCATGGTGCCGAATCCAGTGGCTTCCTTCTTGTCCCCACCTGCAGGAAACGGGATTCTGGTTCATTTTCCACCATGTACCAACTGGCCCCTCTGTGGGGATGTACTCCCCAGGGTACTCAGAGCACATCCCACTTGGCAAATTCCTCAACAACCGTGCTCACTCCAACTACCGGGTGAGTCTCGCCGCCAGGCCTTGCCTGCCACCCCGACACTGCCCTCCCACCTGCCAAAGTTGGTCAGAGCTATGTTCCTGGTGAGGATCTGAAAGAAAGCAGGGCATCCTCCCCGCAACACGCCAGGAGAGATTCTCTGTGTCCTATGCTGCAGCGACAGCATGTGGCTGGAGCCACGGGAGGCCAGCTGCTCCTTCCTTCGAGCTCCTGCTGGTGGCCCCTGGCTGAGCACTGATTTGATTCAGATGTGGGGCCGTGGTGTGACTGGAGACAGAGGTCTGACCCCGAAGCGAAGGGAAACCAGGAGGTGGCTCCAAGGGAAGGAAGCAGGGCGAGCATCCTTGCCTGTGTTCCTTCCCGTTCTGCATCTTGGGCATACAGAGTCACACAAGCAGTGAGGAAGCAAGAGCATCCTCCGTCACCCTCACCCCTCACTGGCACCCGCTAAGTGGCCCCCGTGTGTCGGGGCAGGTGCTGGGGGAGAGGGTAGGGGGTCCTCCCACAGGCACAGCTGCCAAGACCAGAGCTTGGGTGAGGCTGGGGCCAGAGATGCTGCCCAGGGATGGAGGTGGTCTGGAGGGTGCTGGGCCAGGTGTAGACTGGATGGTGCTCTGGTCCAGTTCCTAAAGGTGCCAATGAGGGAACTGAGGTTCCTATGGGGGAATGGACAATTGTCGGGTCAAAGAAATAATTTTAAAAGGCCCAACCAGAGAAAAGAACAAAGGGAAGAGATATAATCTCAGAGCAGACCTGTGCTTACATCTGGGGGAGTGGGGGCAGAGACCTCAGAAACTAGGATAGGATTCAAGGTGGTGTCCTGGCAGAGGGCAGCAACATCATTCTGCAGAGGAGAATCCAAGAGGCCTGGGGGTGGGAATCCCCACACTGAGGCATGCGCTGGGGCAGGGACACTGGAGAGTGCTTGCTGGGAGTCCCCACTTGACCAGACTTCGAGTGCAGGGGAGGTTCCAGCCCACGGGTCATACCCCAGCCCCAACTCCACACCCCCCGAGGGAGGGGGTTCCCTGGAGTGGGTCCTGGTATTTTGGTCCTTGAAGCTGTCCTGTGGAACAGGCGGAGTCTGCCCCTTCTGCAGATGGTATAGCTGCAGCTAAGGGGGTAAGAAGGCTTGGCCAAAGTAATAGCTTGTGACAGCACAGTTGGGGTTCTAAGCCCACAGGACCAAGGCTGAACCACAAGCCAGTGGGGGATGAACATGCCAGGGTCTGCCGGGCATCTAAAGAGAGACGCTTGCATGTGGGCATCCATAAGAGGCCCTGGGACCTAGGAAAGAAGGAAGATGGGATGGCCTGCCGGGCAGCCACACCTGTGGCAGATAAGGCAGATGCGTCTGGAGTCAGATTCGGTCGGGTTCTCTGCTCATGTCAGGCAGGAGTCCAGGCAGAAGTTGAGACGAGCAGGAGATGGCTGACCTGGGCAGAAACAGCGTGGCTGAAGCTTCGCATCACCCTAGAATCTCTGTGGACACGTTTCCCGGGGTCCACACGTGTGTCCTTGATTTGGGGCCTGTGATAATAACGGTCCAAAGCAGAGTGGGCTCTGTACATGGACTTGGCTGTGTGGCCTTGGACAGGATAGGCACCCTCTCTAGATCTCAGTTTCCCCATCTACACCTCACACAGACATTACGTTCAATCTCGGTCTGAGCTGAACAGAACAAGGCAGGCTCTTTCCCTCCCTTGCTGCAGACTCTCTGCTCCCATTAATGTGGCCTCATAGCACAGCTGGTTTTCCTGTACACTCAAGAGCTAGGCTGGGTGTGAGGAGGTGCCTGGGGCCTGCAGTGGCAGCTAACGTGTCCCTAATGTCCCCTCTCCCCAGGCTGGCATGATCATAGACAACGGAGTCAAAACCACCAAGGCCTCTGCCAAGGACAAGCGGCCATTCCTCTCCATCATCTCGGCCAGGTAACCTGCTTGGGAAATCACATCCCATGGAGCCTCCCAGCCCAGCCTTTGCCCTTCACCCAGAGAGCACTGAGGTAGTTGCTGGGGTTCTGAGGTGCAGATCTCACCAAGGCAGAGTTTGAACTAGGATTCCAGCTCCAGTAGCCAAAAGGAGACAGAAATTTCTAAGGCTTCTGGGTCCCAGCAAAGTGATACCTGGTAAGTCAGCAGGATGGCCAGAGCTGCTGCAGGGCATTACCAGCATCCTTAAAAAGCCTCATGGCTTGGTCTCCATCAGAAGTGGGTAACACTAGCTACATGCTAATGTCCACGGGACAGTTTGTCTAGACCAGACACCAGGGAGCATCCAAGTCCGGAATTCCATTTTACTGCCAAGTGCCCCAGGAAAGAGAGCTTTCAGGTTGCTGGCTATCCCTGAGGACCTGGTGTCTCCAGACTCCCTTTGCTGCCCCCGCAGATAGCATTGAATATTTGGCTGCGAATGGCTGTCTGAACTTTCCTCTGTGATTTGACTGTACTCAGGGAAGGGTTCCCTGGTGGTACTGATGGACAAAAAGAGTGATGCATTTGCAGCTGCGTGGGGCTGGGTCTGCATCTGTGGTGAGCTCAGGAAGCCCACTCAGAGCCCAGCTGGGGCCGATCAGTTCTGTTCACCAGTGCTACCGCCAGGCTCCTAGTGCCGGAAGGCAACAGCACAGAAGCCCTTCAATGCCCCACACACCCCATGTTCCAGGTACAGCCCACACCAGGACGCCGACCCGCTCAAGCCCCGGGAGCCTGCCATCATCAAGCAGTTCACGGCCTACAAGAACCAGGACCATGGGGCCTGGCTGCGTGGTGGGGATGTGTGGCTGGATAGCTGTCGGTGAGTTGAACAGCATGTGGCGTGGTGAGGCAGAGAAGACAGACAGTGTCATGTGGCCTTGTTTCCTCCTGGCCAGGCAGTGACCAGAAGGGCAGCAGGCAGCAGCCAGAAGCATCTGTAGCAAACCCAAGGACAGCTTGGTGGCTTTGCTGGTGTGATTGGTCTCAAGGGTCACTGGGCTTCTATGTCCCAAGGTCACCCTGCCAGGCAGTAAAGGGAGGGTGAAGTAAGGGTGTTCCTGCACCAGAGCCTGAGCTGCATTTCTTTCTGACATGTTTCTCAGCCTGCCAATTACTGTCTCCACGTTAGAGCTGTCAATGGAGGCTCTGTGTAGTGAATGTCTCAAGGTCATGACCAGGAAGTGGTTGAACTGGGACTTGACACTCTGGTCATGGATTCATCTCACTGAAGGTCCCTGAGCAGAGCCACTGGCCCCACTGCACAGGGACCAGAAGGACAGGTGGCTGGGTGCAGTGTGTCTGCCAGGAGTGTTGTGAAGTTTTCTTCTCGTCTGCCTTTGCATTAAAAATGGGAGATCAGAAACTGCACAGAAGATGAATGTTCATTTTATTGTGACCAATTAAAGGAGAAATAAAGATGCAAAAGAGCAGGAGTGTGTGAGGAGGAAAACAGAGTCATAAAGGGAGAGAGAGAAGGAGGCTCCTGAGAAGAGCAGGGGTCAGAAAAAGGCTGATCCGAGGCCAAATGCCAGACCAGCCTGGGTGAAGTCCTGGGATACAAAAGGACATCTCTGACCGAGCTCCAGAAGGGCCTTCATGTCACACAAGAGAAGAGGCCATTAGTTTAGAGGAGTGGCAGGATGTGTGGCCCAGACAGGCTGGGGGACCAGAGACTGGTTATGTCTGCCTGGACAAAGGACACAAAGCTAGTGCTAACTAGAGGCTCAGCTCTGATTCTGCACTGCCTTTGTCCCTGGGGACCATGCTCCCTGCAGAAGCTACTCGTCCTGGTGCTGCAGAAGGGTGGAGTCGAAGGAAACAGACAACCATAGGGCAACTGAAGGCTCCTGCCATTCCCAGGTGGCATCTGCCTGACTTCTGGGAAGCTTGGAAGTGAGATGTTTGTATTTCTTCTGAAATAGTGGTGAGGATGCAAAGGGAATGAATTGCAGCCACAGAGCCTTTCCCAGGACTGGCCCTGAGTGTGGGAAGTGTGCCCAGTCCCCCACTCCAGCCCTCAGCCCTGGGCCACAGGCCACAGTGGGCTCAGAGGGCCTGTGACACAGGTGCCAGCAAACCCTAGAGCCACTGGGGTCACCGGTGTCCCTGGAACCAGAGACAGAGTGGGAGGGACCCAGATTATGCCGCTACTGTGCAGCATGCTGCAGTCACACCTTTGCAAAGCCTCCCTGAGGGCTGGGAGCACCCCCTCACTGGACAGGACTGATAGCACGCTAACCATCTGCTTCTGTCCCCAGGTTTGCCGACAATGGCATTGGCCTGACCTTGGCCAGGTAAGAGCAGGGTCCTCGTGCACCTCATCTGTCTGTGGGGACTGTGGGCATTTGTCTGGGGAAAGCTGTCCTGGGCTTCAGCTGCCAGCATCTTCTCTCCACAGTGGTGGGACCTTCCCGTACGATGATGGCTCCAAGCAAGAGATCAAGAACAGCTTGTTTGTGGGCGAGAGTGGCAATGTGGGCACAGAAATGATGGACAACAGGATCTGGGGCCCTGGTGGCCTGGACCACAGCGGAAGGACCCTCCCCATTGGCCAGTAGGTTTGCAGCTGGGCCACAGCTGGATGGCAGTGGGTGCTTAGCTTCAGCGAGAGTTGTGGGAGAAGTTAGGTGATGATTTCTGTCTGTGGCTGGGAATGCTTCTGTCCCCACAGCCAGAGGAATCACTGAAATGACTGAGACTGATGGTTGAGGGACAGACTCTGGAAGGGGGAGAATGAAGTGAACAAAACCAGTGTTGAAGATGAGGCGAGAGAGAGTCAAGGCCCTGGTCTGTCAACGGGAATCTAGTGTGCAGATGAGGGACCTCAAGTCCCTGTCCCTTGCTCCCTTCCTAGGATGGCAGCACAAGTGCCACTTACAGGAGAGTAACTGGATGTGCCACACCTGGAGGCTGTGGTGTCTCCTGTAGATGGGGACTGCGCTGTCATCTGGGAGGTGGATCACACTGGGGCAGACACATGCCCAGGTCTGCCAGGTGCAGGAGAGGTCAGAAATGGCTCAGCCAGAGACTTTCCTGGCAGTCAGATGTGCACAACAACTGAGTGGCAGGGCTTCCTTGGGAGTCTCGGGCTGTGGGGAGGAGCTCAGGGGAGGAGCAGGTGGCTAGAGTAGGAGCCAGTGTTCCTAGGACAGCAGAGCATGGGTGGCACCTCCTTCCCTGGGTGCCTCTGCTGAGGTAGGAACTCAAGCCCCAGAGCCAGGCTCTCAACCCACAGCCATCCTGTTCTGAGTGACAGGATCAGCCCTTTTTGCACCCATGGGGTTTCTTCTCTTCCTCCCCAGAAGTGTAACTCCTGTTGCTAGACTCCCAACCTGAGTGCGCTTGTATCTCCAGAAAGATCTTGCAGAGGCAGAATCCTGATCTCCTTTGACCTGAGCTGTGGAGAAGCCATCGCTCTGTGTAACTTACAGGACGTAGAAATCCTTGTGCCATCTTCACTCCTGACTCTGTCTGGTACTTAGGGTTTCTTTGTAGAGGGCTCCCGCCTCCCAGGGCCACATGTTCTGATGACTTTCAGAGGTGAGCATGTGCCCAGGAGCCCGACACTGGCTGGTTCATCCTGCGTAGAACTGAGTTAGGTCTGAAGGTAAATAAGCACAGGACTGAACTATGGTGTTAGCGGAATGGGCTGTCCCAAAAATACTTAGCAGAAAAACACCTAGAGCTGGTTTATAAGAACCAGGATTCCAAATGACACCATTAATCAGTTACAAAAATACAGACGTGCAGGGAATCTTTAGAAGGACTGGTGTGAGGGGACTGGGAAGGAGGGGAGCCTAAAAGGAAGAGTGGGACAGCCAGGGTATGGCTCTTCCCCAGAGACAATCCCTCTTCTGCTTTGTTTTCCTTGATTCCATCCTCTTTTCTTTAAGCTACCTGTGGAAGGGACAGGGCTGCCCCAGCATAGCAACACCAGCAGAAGCATTTGTGCTGGGCCTAGAGATGCCCAAGCTGAGATCTGTGGCTAGGCCCAAGAGGAAGCCCAGCCACTCCCTCATGAATCCCAGTTCCCCAGGCCCTGCTCAGGAATCTGAGGCCTGCTCTGCACAGCCTTCAGGCCAGGGCACGATCTCTGGGTCACCGGCCCACAGCCCTGTCCACCTTCTCCCTCCTGCCTTCCTCACAGGGCCTGCTTTTCCCTTGGGGATGTGCAGAAAGCCACACTGCAGTCACATTTACCACCCTCAATTCTGTGTCTTCCTCTCCATTCCCCAAACCCCACACACTGCCAGCTGAAAGACTCACTCACAAAGGAAAACTCATCTGGGTCTCAATCTGATTTAATTGTTATAGCAACTAAAACTAAGGCAGTAAAGACTAACAGTGCGACCTTCCCAAGGGACATAATATTGGCACTCTCCAGTAGCATTTACAGTATTTACCAATGACTCTTCATATGATGGGGAAATTGGGAGGAGGCATGTTTGACTAGAGGACCTTAAGACTCAAGCTAGCAACTAGATTGCTTTTCATTTGTCTTCCATCCATCCACCCACTCATGCACCTACTCACCCACCCTTGTTCTACCCATCCATCCATCTATCCACCCCATCCATCCATCCACCCACCCCATCCATCCATCCACCCACCTATCATGCACTCATCCATCCATCCATCCACTCACCTATCCATGCACACGCTCAATCACCTGTCCATCCATCCATCCATCCATTTACCTACCCTTCCATCCAGTCATTCATTCATGCAGCAATCATTCACTGATATTTGTTGTTTCTGCACATGCTTTCTCAGTGAATTAATTAATGGTTCATTAATGATTTAAGATGGAAGAGTTGCTGGAGGTAGAGATCAGGAATGGCTTTACCCAGAATGTTTCTCTTGGGGCTGGGGATTTACCTCTGTGGTGCCATGCCTGACTGGCAAGCACAAGGTCCTGAGTTCCATCCCCAGTTCCACCAAAAAAAAGGGTCTCTCTTAACATCCACCTTTAGAAGAGGAAATGACACGGTGTTCAGACTGACATCTGGCTCCCTTTACTCCATAGGAATTTTCCGATCAGAGGAATCCAGTTCTATGATGGCCCCATCAATGTCCAGAACTGCACCTTCCGGAAGTTCGTGGCCCTGGAGGGCCGGCACACCAGTGCCCTGGCCTTCCGCCTAAACAACGCATGGCAGAGCTGCCCACACAACAATGTGACCGGTGTCGTCTTTGAGGACGTCCCGGTGCGTGAGGCGCCAGGGCTCCTGAATAGCAGACTGGGTGGTGACTCACAGGTCCCTCAGGGCTGAAGGTTGGGCTGGTGCCATCCCTGCAGGGAGTAAATGACCTCTTCTAAGTAGTCTGGGCCACGGCCCATTGCTCTGCCTCCTAGCTGGAAAAGTACAGTCCCCCATGGCCACAGGTCAAGGCTGGGTGAGGAGGAGCCTCACGGCAGGCTCTGCCTAGGGCTGTCCTCCAAGGCTTCTCCATGCAGGGTCTCGTGACTGGGCCACCTTCGGAGGCACAGGTCATCCGACACACCAGCAGCTTCCAAGGGAGGTCGCTGCCAGAGATGTCTGGTTAATCTCTCCCTGAGAGTAGAGCATAAACAGGGGCCTCCTGCCATGGGCGGAGCCAGAGAAGAGGAGCTCAGGGCTAGGAGACCCTTAGGGCTGCCTGTGCGCCCAGCAGTATGGACTCTTGGCATAGCTCCTCTGGGCTGTGGGCTCCCAGGCCCTTCCACCTCTGCCTCCTCCTGCTCCTGCTCCTGACTGTTGCCTGGTCACTGCCAGTTGGGGAGAAGATGTGGTATCTGAGTTACTCATGTCTTCCCTTGAGCTGTCATGGCCTAAAGGAGGTCAGCCATGAAAATCTCCAAGGGCTTGTGCTGCAAGACTGCCCTGACACACACACACACACACACACACATACACACACACACTCACACTCACACTCATATGCTCTTGCACACACACCCTGACCACACTTTCCCCTGCCCTCACCTCCATGCCTCCTATCTCATTGCCACCCACACTCCTTGTCAAGACCCCCTGGCCACCCTTGCAGCTGGGCTCCAATGCGCTCCTCGAGATCCCTATAGCACATGCCCTGCAGTGAGCAGAGTCAGAACTGCCCGCCAGGCTGGGAGTTGAACCTTTGACTGTTTTCCTGACCCATCTGCCAGGTCAGCCCGTGGTTTCCTGCAGTGCCCAAAGAGTGCTTTGGTTTGGCTGGCTCCTAATGTCAGTGGAAATCGGAAACTTCTCCCCAGCCCCCTGACAGCTGGGTTCCCTTGGTCTCTGGCCCAGCCTGACTTTCCTGGGCTCTGTTCAGATCACTTCCAGAGTGTTCTTCGGAGAGCCCGGGCCCTGGTTCAACCAGCTGGACATGGACGGGGACAAGACGTCTGTTTTCCATGATGTGGACGGCTCCGTGTCTGAGTACCCCGGCTCCTACCTCACCAAGGAGGACAACTGGCTGGTGCGCCACCCAGACTGCATCGATGTCCCGGACTGGAGGGGGGCCATCTGCAGCGGGCGCTATGCACAGGTGAGGAGCCAGGACACACTCACTCACACATGCGCACTCACCCACACACGCACACTCAGTGAGTGCCTACTGTATCCCAGCTCTGCGTTGGACCACAAAGGGCTATAGAATTCTTTCCTCTTTTTCTTTCTTCTTTTTTCCCCCCTCATCCAGTAAGATTTTCACAAGATCAAATTCAAGGCCAACCTACATAGCAAGACTGTCTTTTTAAAAAGAAGTCCTAAATAAATAAATAAAAATAATAACCCGGGGACCTTGGGAAAATACTTGGAGCCTCTGCTTCCTTATCTATAAAATCAGGATGATGTTGGTGAGATTGTAGAAGCAAAGATGCAAATAAAATGCTTCCTTAGCCCTAAGCTGTCAAAACATAATACAAGCTACACACATGATCCTAAATTTTCTGGTGTTCATGTTAGAAAAGTAAAAAGAAACAGGAAAATCAACTTTAATAATATTTTATATAGTTAAGTATACTCAAAATACTATCACCTCAACATATGATCCATATAAAAATTATTAGTGAGACATTTTACATCTTTTTTTCCAGTTTTAAGTCTTCAAAACCCTCCATGCATCTTATATTTACAGCTCACCCATTTGGGATGTTAATCCATAACAAACTGAAATGCAGTCCTATCCTAACAAGCAAGTGGTGCTTCATGGAAAAAATTCATATTGCTTGTGTCTTGAAATTTAAAATGAGGGTCCTGAGCCACACCGTCCTCTTCTCCCGGGGTCACTGTATGGGACAGTATGGCCTGAACATGCCTGGGGGAGGTGGAGAGGTGAGCAACAGTCGGCATTGTTGTGCTGTGACCCTCGCTGCTGTTGACTAGTGATGAATGAGTAAGGGAGAGAGGCCTGAGAAAAGGGGAAAAGGGGGAAGAGCTTGGGCTGCCATGGTAGAGCGCTTGCCTGGTATGCGTGAGGCCCTGGGTGTTATCCCCAGACCCACAAAAGCAAAAGCACAAGGATTTTTGAGCTAACGGTGACACTGCCTTTGTTATTGTCCTATAGGGCAGGCGTGTTTATCTCTGCTGTGTTCATGAAGAACTAGGTGTTGGAGAAGAGAGATGGGAAAAAGAGTGAGTGCCAGGCAGAGAGGAAGGGCCAAGGGCAAGGAGGACAGGGGAGGAGGGGCTGGCATTGGCAGGGGGTGGGCACAGGGGGAGAGGGAGTTCTTTCAGCAGGAGGTGAGGTCAGGTCCACAGAGTTCACTGGGCCTGGGGAGGGCAGGAGGGAGGCTGCAGAGAGAGAGGTGCTGCAGAGCAGGGGGAGGAGCTGGGGTACTGAGAACCCAGCAGAGACCTGGCTCCTGAGCTGGGGATCTTCTTACCCCACTCAGAAGCCCCCTGGAGGCCCCAGCAGAGGCCTCTGCTGCACATGTGGACAGGGCGGGGCCAAGGTGTGGTGTGAAAGAATGGCTGACTGGAGTGATCTGAGGAGATAAGAAGGGAGGCAGAGCTAAAGGATGGGTGAGAAGCCCTCAGCACCTGATGGATGACTGAGCCCTCTTGTTTGCACACACTAGATGTCCCAGGCAGAGCCCTGAGCTCCTCCCACTTCTGTCTGATACTGCTTGTCTTCTGTAGAAAAGGGCTGTTAGACTTTGCCATAACTGGCTACTATGGTTATTGCTAATCATCTCTTCCCTTCACTTTGCAGCTTATAAAGTGCTTCAATCCACCTTTTACCTTTTGACACCCACAGGGTGGAGTTGGTGTTTGTCTTTCCATCAGATATGTGGTCACACTAGCGTGGGAAAATAGTCCCTCCTTCCAAAGGCACAATGTCCTCACTCGTCAGTGTGCTGGTCTCTCTTACCCACAGCTATAGGGTGTCACCTTAAAAATATGGAATGTGCCATAAAGCAGGACGGTGCTTTAAACTGAGGCTGGCTCTTTGGTCCCTGGGACTCATGGGCAATAGTCTCGTTTTCAGTTTTTTCTCTGAAGAAGACACATGCCCTCATCCAGTGTCCTGCCATCCTTGTGAGCTAGCCACAGGGACCAGACCCTAAGAGCCAGAGGAGAAGGAGGCGGCACACTCCCAGAAGCAGGTGGAACCATGGCCAGCTAACTGTGAGCTGCACTTGCAGCAGAAAAAGGCCTTTCTCCCTTCCACATGTCCTTTCTTTTTCCAAAAGTCATCTTCTGACTATTTGTGCTGGTAGCTCCTCAACACCACTTTTTTGAAAATGCAAAAATAGCATTAGCTGGATTGCACTGTATGGCTTGGGCTGTGTCCACCAACAAAAGAGATGTCCCCTTATTTGGCCTGTCTTCCATTCAAACCTTCTAAAAAGGACTCTGTCTTTGAAAGTGCATCTGCAGCTGGACACTAACCAGATGCCCTTGCACCAATTCCTGGTAACAGCCTCCTGTGTGTTTCCTTTTTGGGCTTTAAAAGATGTACATTCAGGCCTACAAGAGCAGTAACCTGTGGATGAAGATCATTAAGAACGACTTTCCCAACCACCCTCTCCACCTGGAGGGCGCCCTCACCAGGAGCACTCATTACCAGCAGTACCAGCCTGTCGTCACCCTGTACAAGGGCTATACCATCCACTGGGACCAGACGGCCCCTGCCGAACTTGCCATCTGGCTCATCAACTTCAATAAGTGAGTGGGTACGGGCAAGAACCAGCATGGCTGGGCACGGCTGCCTTTCTGAGCTCAGAGAGTGGTGATGAGGCTAGCCCACTCCCTGCAGGAGTGGCCCCCAGGGTTTAGATCATCTAAGAGCTAAGACTCAAAGGACAGAGTCTGACCCCACACTGGACCTGAGTGACCTCCCTTCAGATGGGTTGAGTGTGACAGTCCAGGAGTGTGCAGAAGATGGAATAAGGTGATGAATGTGTGACAGGTGTTTCCCCCAGCATGTGGCATTACCAAGTGCTCAAGAGATGACAACCATTATGGCTACCATTGCCATTTTATAGAGGGAACTGAGGATCCGTGAAGGAGAGTGATGAGGCTGTGGGCATCTGGGTAGAGATTCATATTTATGTCCATATTTATTGCTGACTTGTCACAGTATCCTGTGAAACAGACACTTATTGGATGCAGAAAATAATCCACTGTGCACTTTAGCCCCACCCCCATTGAAAGAAGCCTTTTCCTGCTCCCCAGCACCCCAATGCAGGCCCTGTATCCCAGCTGGCCCATCTGGTCATCCATCTTGCTCCTGGCTCTCTCCTGGAACACTGTGTAACTCTGTCATACCCAGAGCAAGTGTTCTTTCAAAGTTCCCTGTGCAGGAATTCTTGAGTCTCTCTTCCCAAGTATTCCCCAGTCATCCTTGCCTGGAACTGACCCTACTTGTGGTCCTAGGGGTGATTGGATCCGAGTGGGGCTCTGCTACCCACGAGGCACCTCCTTCTCCATCCTCTCGGATGTCCACAATCGCCTGCTCAAGCAGACATCCAAGACGGGCACCTTTGTGAGGACCCTGCAGATGGAGAAGTTGGAGCAGAGTTATCCTGGCAGGAGCCACTACTACTGGGACGAGGACTCAGGGTAAGGAGGCTCCCAATGGCTGCAGGGTGGGCTTGGCTTCACTGTGCCCTGTATCCTTTCTCACAACCCTAAAACAACCACATAAATGTTGCCAAGTAGTGCAGGAAACTCTCCCAGGTGCTTTGATCCTAATGCTGACTGCTCTGTGTACTGGTGACATTTTTAAAGCCATTAAGCCTTGGGGGGAACATAAACACTCTATTAAATATACATATGGACTTTAGGGAATATACTTATTTCAGGAAAAAAAAAGTGAAAGCAGCAAATCAGAATTTTAAAAATATAGCAGGACTGGGGGTGTAGTTCAGAGAGCACTTGCCTAGCATGTGCAAGGCTCTGGATTCTATCCCCAGCACAAGACAAGACAAAACAATAAAAATCCCCATGGTACATTATCCCCCAAAACCTGGTTGTAGAGGTTTCAGTCCATAGTTGGCTGGCTCCAAGGCAGGGAGACCTGGCAGAGGGGCATCAGAGAGAAGGAACAGTCCATGGCAGGGCAGCCAGGAGGCAGCAAAGCACCAAAGCAAGCCTTTTTATCTCATCCAGGCTACAAAAGTTTTGAGTGGAGCCACCCACACCCAGGGTAAGGCTTCCCATTATCCACACCCAGAAATACACTAAACCATTCAGTGGACTAATTTAGTTATCACACCCTTAATCCATATTTGCACATAATCCAACCGGCTCTGAAAACCCCCACCAGTGAGCACACAAGGCTTTGGGGGAACATCTGGATACAAGCCATAATAGCTTTTCACCCTGAGCTGCTGCCCTCTCTGGAGACCTCAAGAGGGGTGGGAACAGAATGGGGGCACCATCACAGTTCAAAGGGCCTTTCCATTTAAGGACCACGAGAGAGGCCTCCTCTTGGCCACTAGGTATTCGATAAGCAGCACTTCTCCAAAACCCTTGTGTGTCCTGGTCTAGTTAGCTAAATCCTGGGCAGGGGCCATGCATCATGGCACAGCCCAGCTCCCAAAGCCAAGTGGGATCCACGAGGCTCAGTTCCCAGAATGGGAGTGTGTGAGACCCTCATACCACATCTGCTACACAGATGGGGGACCCACCTGAGTGCATTCCGAGCTAGAGGACACAACAGTGAGTCCCAAGTGGTATTTTTCTTTTTTCTTTTGGTACCTGGGATTGAACTCGAGATCTTGCACTTTCGAGGCAGGCAGCGGCACCACTGAGCTAAATCCCCAGCCTGCAAGCGGTGTTTTTATAACTTGACTCCCTGTAACACACGGTTGGATTCCTTCACAATAATGATTATTTCAAATAAATTCTAAAATAATTCTTAGAATAAATGATGGCTTGGAGAAAACTAGAGTTAGAAAGACTGAGAGCCTTTGCTCTTCAGGCACAGTGGAGGGATGGGAATTCCAGCATGCCCACTCCCAGCTATGTGGTCACGAGCAAGCCACATCCCTTTTCCCCCTACCACTTCCTGCATCTGGGAAATTGGGATGATATATGGAGCAGGGCTGAGGACTAAGTGGGATAATGTGTCAGCTCTCACCATGCATATGTGGCAGAACAGAGTACAGTTCCCATCATTATCAGCTTTATCTTCAATGTGTGTGGTTTTCATTTCTCCAACTGGATTTGAACCATGTCCTGGCTGGCATGGGTCCAACCCGGGGAGGAGCACATGGCCAGTGTCTCTTGTAGGGGCTACTCCGTGAACCCAGCACCCCTCCTCCTGCAGGCTCTTGTTCCTGAAGCTCAAAGCCCAGAATGAGAGGGAGAAGTTTGCCTTCTGCTCCATGAAAGGCTGCGAGAGGATAAAGATTAAAGCTATGATCCCAAAGCACGCGGGTGTCAGCGACTGCACGGCCACCACCTACCCCAGGTTCACCGAGCGGGCTGTGGTGGACGTGCCCATGCCCCCCAAGCTCCGAGGGCCACAGCTGGTGAGTGCTGACCACTGTGGTCCAGACTCCAAGAGGACCTCTCTGTACCCCTGCTGAGCCCCACAGCCGTGTCCTGATGCTCATACCTGATGCCCCTCTGTGCATTTTCCAGAAGTCCAAGGACCACTTCCTGGAGGTGAAGATGGAGAGCTCCCGGCAGCACTTCTTCCACCTGCGGAGCGACTTCGCCTACATCCAGGTGAGCAGCAGGCCTTGTGGGTGGAGCAGACAAGTGCTGGGGCAGTGGCTTTCCCAAGGCTGTCGGTGTAGGCATAACGAGTTCCCACAGCTGGGCCTTGAACCAGAGGCGAGTTCCTCTTTCAGTCCTGGGGCCAGGAGGAGGACTCCAAGATCAGGTTACACTCCCAGTGACTGTGGGGACCCCGACACCCCATGACCCACAGGTTCCTCCCTCCACCTCTGCCTCGTCTCCATGCGGCTTCTCCCATGTGTCTGAGTCTCACATCTCCCTCTGCCTTCTTTGTAAGGGCAACTGTCATTGGATTTAGGGCCCACCCTAAAAAATCCTGCACAATTTCACCCTGAGATCTTTACATGAAGTTATGGATGTGCTTCTGACACCATTCTAAAGGAGGTCACTTCCGTAGACTCCAATGGGGGGGTATCTTACGAGGGCTGCTATTCAACCCACTACAGGGGGCTGGAGAGCAGTGAGGAGTTTGTGCTTTGAGCAGCTGCACAGGCAACCTGTGCTCAAGGTGTGCGTGGGAGATACCCAGACAGGAGAACCTCACGTCTGTGCTGTGTGGGCCCTGCAGGTGGATGGGAGGAGGTATTCCAGCTCAGAAGATGGCGTCCAGGTGGTGGTGATTGATGGACGCCAGGGGCACGTGGTGAGCCAGGGCACCTTCAGGAGCTCCATCCTGCAGGGCATCCCCTGGCAGATCTTCAGCTACGTGGCAGCCATCCCTGACAAGTGAGTCCCTGCCTCTGTTAGTGGGTCTGGCCAGGGGCACAGCTAAGCTCCACCCACTGTCTGAGCTGTCACTGTCATTATGCTTCCTAGTCTGGGGAATTCTGGGCATTTTGAGTCTGCCCACAGACATGGACACTGTGTGTCTCATGTTGAAGGAGGGCTGTTGGGAACACAGATCAGGCCAAGGGCTGCCCATGAGTGGAAGGCACCCGGCCCTCTGCCCATCTTACACACTCTCCTCAATGACCTCACCCACTCCCACCCCCTCAGCATGACCCAAAAGCGGCTAGCTCCTGAGCCGCCAGCCTAGGTCTCTTTCCTAAGCCCAGACGCCCCACACAGCAGCTGCCTAGAGATGCTACCTGGACATCCTCTATGGAACCATGTCCTCTTCCTCGCCCCCACCCCATACCAGCCACTCCTGTCCTTTTCCTGTTTGGATTAAGTCGTCATCGTTAATCCAGCAGCCAGACCAAAATCTGGGCTTCACGTGTAACTCTTCTCTTGTTCCCTCACACCCTGACACAATCCCCGTCAGTCCCCCTGTGTGTCCTCTCGACCCTGCTCTGTCCTTTCCAGCCTTCCCTGTTGGTCACCAACACTGAGCAAAGTTTCCCAGTGTCCCCCTCTTCCAATCTGCCCATCTTCCATATTGGCTGCCAGTCTGAGAGTCTCAAATGCTGGCCTCACCTGCATCCCCTTTTAGCTCCCCACCACCTTCAGAGTCTGACACCCCTATGGCCTCCCTGGTGAGGGCTCTTCTGTTTTCACCAGAAGTTCTCCATAAAGCAGCGCTCCCAGCAGGAGTGGGCACACATCTGCCTCCCCATCCATGTGATGCCTGGATGCCAGTGCCATGTCTCACTCCCCTTGGCATTTCCAGCCCAGCCCCTAGCTGGTTAGATGGGTGTAGAGGTCACGCAGGAGCCACTGCCTAGTGGGACATCTGTGTGCATAATGTGGCCCCTGGCACATAGTAGGTGCTTGGTAAGAGTTCAGGAGAGAAAACACACACATCCTCGATGTGCTGTCTGTGTGGACCCAGGCAAGCGGGCCACTGGGAGACTGGAGAGTGGTTTTGCCTGCTGCACTTAGCTCCTCACTGATGCCACCCTGCTGCTTTAGGGTTAGATTTTCCCTGTGCAGACTGACATAGAAGGATGAGTTTTACCACCTGGGGAAAACACATTTATCGCCTAGAGAAAAATCATTGGCAGTTTTCATACCCGTTTTGGTCAGAGGACTTCTTCCTAAAATGAAACAAGATGCAGAAGCAGGAATGGGAGCACAGGGACACTGGAGCCAGGTGTGGCAGCCGTGTTCCCCCCTAGGGAAGGCCCCAGCTCGCAGAAGCCCTTCCTGGGCAAGCACTGGGTGCCCAGACAGAAACCAGGTCCCACTGACCCCTCTCTGACCTCCTGGGAAGCCACAGGGCAGGAGCAAGACAGGCCCTTCCCTCCCAGGGCTGCCAGCCCAGCCTTCCCACTCACCACAGGCCCAGGGAAGGGAGAGGGCAGCTACTCAGGGACGTCTGGCATGGGCTGGTGTGGGGCTCCGAGGCCTTGCCGATGGCACCGGGCAGAGAGGCTCCGGACGGGACAGGCAGAGTGATTCTGGGTGACATGGGGGGCGGAAGGAGCCCTCCTCCCTGTCTGTCCAGAGAGTAGGGCCTTCCTCTGAGTGCCCCAGCAGGGAGGCAGAGCCTCAGGGGGTGTCCTGGAACAGGCCCTCACCCATGGCCTAGGGCACATCTGTGAGGAGCCTTCCTCCTTCACAGGCCCCCGGCTCCCATCCCTGGGCTCCCTCGCAGCCCCCAGCCCCCACTGTCCTCCCCACACGAGGGCTCCTGCCTTCCAGCAGCCCTTCTGCTGCTCCCAGTGGGACACAGATGGGGGTGGCATGGGGTTCCAGTGATTGTCCAGTCGCTCCATGTCTGGACTGTGGTCTGTGGTTACAGACTTCCTCTGGGATGAGAGCTGGAAGCCCCAGTGAGCTTCAGCCTGGCTTGGTTTCTGTCTCAGAGGGAGGTGCTCACTTCCCGGTCTGGAGCAGCATGAGACTGTTTTCCCAGCACTCGGGACTCATACAGCCCAGCACAGGAAGCAGAGACATGGGCTCCCAAGCTGGGCCCTTCAGGCTGGGCACGACCTCTCCCCTCCCAAGCACAGCTCCCCTCTAGCCAGGGCCCTTGGGTTGTCAGAACTGTTTGTTCAGGCTCCCCATTTACAGCCCAATGTGTAACGACACAGTGCTTTTCCTTTTCCTGGGAAGATGTCAAACCAGGTCACGCTCTTTCTGCAGTGCAGAGGAGGTGGTCTGGGCAGCACAAAGCCCACGACCAGCAGACACTCCAAAAAGAACATAGGCTCAGGGAGTCAGCTAACGCAGGGAGATCTGCATCAAACACAGAGCCTGGTTTGGAAGGTGGGCAGTGGGCAAGCTGTTCAGTTCCAGGTGATAGCAGGGCTCCAGTGCCATTGGAAGCCCTGGGTGGTTTTATAGTCTGAGAGAAGACTCCTTTTTCCTTGCTTTTCCTCCCTCTTGTCCCCTTTCTATCTCCTGCCACCTGTTCGGGCTTTCTCCACCTCCCCAGCTCTGCTGACTCTGTCTAAACAGCGCTGACAACATCACATGAAGAAATGCATGACTCGTGCTGGTGCTGGTATGCTGCCAGAGTGCTGTGCTCTCTGTGCATGCTCTGTCCTGCTTGGGGACAGACATGTGAAAGCGGTGACCACGTACAGGCTTGAGAAGGCCAGGGCCTCGACGATGGCCAGATGTGTTGGAGGGTGCTCAGGATGTTCGTCACCATGTGGAAAGAGCCTGTCAGCTCAACTGCAGGAGAAGCTGCCCTTTCCCAAGTCCCTCACCAAGCCCTAGCACTCCTGTGTATGAGCCACCATCCTGCCATGTACCTGGCCTCTATTTCTCCCCATCAGAGTCATCTGATTGGTCCCTTCTCTCTCAGCTCCATAGTTGTCATGGTGTCGAAGGGAAGATATGTCACCAGAGGCCCATGGACCAGAGTGCTGGAGAAGCTGGGGGCAGACAAGGGTCTCAGGCTGAAAGGTAAGAAGTGTGATGGGTTTGATGACTGCAGACCAGCGCAGATACTCATCCTCTGGCATGGGGACTGCAGTGACCCCTCACTTAGTCTAGAACAGTCTTTGTCACTAAACATGGATGTGGTTCAGAATTTTGGACACACCTGGTGAGCTACAGGGGTGGGCAAGATGCCACCTATTTTCCATCTGTATACTACAGCAAGTGTACTTTAACTTGTGACCAGACACTGAAAACAAAATTGCTAGTCGTTCACTCATTTGCTCAAAAAGTGTCCGTTTATTCAACAAGAGTGTCATCAGGAAAGCAGCTTTGTCTGACCCTCCCTACCCCGTTCCCATATGCGGACTGGCTGGGGGCCCTATGTCTTCCTCAACATCTCAGCTGTTGGACATCAGTGTCCAACATTTGTTTAGTTGACTGCAGTTTGCAAAGCTCTTATCTTCTGACATAGGCAGAGAGGGAGAAAGTTAAAGCCCAGAAAATCCACATGGCTTATGCAGGTAGCTGTCTGTGGTGAAGCCCAGCCCAGACTCCTTGGCTGTGCGGGATAAGGCAGCCTAGCCAGAGAGGTCAGGTGGTGCTCATTAGTAACCCATCCAGCAGGTGCAATTATTTCCAGTTAAAATGAAAACACAGAATTACAGTTAAGCCCCTTGGTAAACACCAAGATTTGGATTGTAACCTTCCTAATCCAAAGCCAGGGTTCTGAGCTCTGTACCCTGAGTATGAAAGACATGGGAATACAAAGCCCATCACGTGGTGCTTATGCCAGACAGTAAGCAGGAGTCAGGACAACGACAGTCCTTCAGAGCAGGCACAGAAAGCTCAAGGAGAAGGGAAGCATCCTTTCCAATCCAGTCTTGGAATCATTCTCAGGCTTCTGTCCTTTAAATGGTGACCCCATTGCCAAAAGCTTATGTGCATAAGGTCACCTAAATCTAGTGGCACTTTGCCAGTGGTGACAAATGTGTGTCACCTGCCAGGCTGGGCCACTCCTGAGTGTAGATTTGGATCCCTGACCCTTCAGACAGTCAGGCTCTGGAATGCAAAGTAGGGAGTGCTGTGAGGGGTCAGGGTCTGGAGTCCTAGGCTGGGCTGCACCAGGTACTCCTGCCCTGAGGAGGTCACAGATAGACAGAGCTCAGAAATTGATTTTGTGGACAGAGGAGGACACTGAGACTCAGAGACCTGCTGGTGACCATAGGTCAGCTGGAAGGAGGCAGGATTTCTAGGAAACCCACCTCCCAGCCTGCCCTATGCCCTGCATGCACAGAGCCACCGCAGGGCTGGCAGTGAGACTCAGGGAGGCCTTCATGCCCCAACCGAGGGCCAGGCGCCATCCCAGCTGGGCCCAGAGCTCTCCCAGGAGACACGTCCTGTATGGCCAGGAAAGGGAGTGTTGAATGCGGCCCTACAGAGGGGTGGGCGGTAGCCATTCTCTCCTGGGGCCTTGCTCACATCATTCATCACTGCTTTGCAGAGAAACTGGCATTCATTGGCTACAAAGGCAGCTTCCGGCCCATTTGGGTGACTCTGCAGACTGAGGACCATAAGGCCAAAATCTTCCAAGTTGTGCCCATCCCTGTGGTGAGGAAGAGGCAGCTGTGAGGATGGTTGCCACCTTGGTGCCAACGCAGTGGACTCTGACATGGACCCTTGGCTCCCAGCCCTGTTCACAGCTACCCAGGGAGGTGGCTCGTCGACCCTGCCGGCCAAGGGAAGACATCAGAGACCTCTGGTGCTGCCACCTGCCCCAACTCACTCACCTACCTGCAGCCAGGGCAGTGTTGGCCTCTTGGGTGCTTCTCTCCTATCCATGCCTCCTCTGTAGGGGTCTGAGGTGGTCTGGGTTGTGCTGGCTGCAAAGGTCCATTTTGGCTAGAGCCTAGGCCCAGGGAGAAGGTGGCAAGGACTGGGTCACCTGCAGATCCCGTGGTCACCAGCAGATGTGTCAAGGGGACAGGTGTACAAATGACAGTCCCGGCCCTGAAGAGATCTTTACTCCTGTAAGCAAGGACGAGCCCTCACTGTGCAGACAGAGCTTGCAAAGTGCAGCTGGGAACCCGGGGAGTGGCTGCCTCTCGGGAGACTCCAGGGGCACATTGGGACCAATGCCCTTCCGCTCTGAGAAGCTGGAAGTCTGCGCCAGAACCCAGCAGCAGCTGAAAACAATCTTCCCAGCAGACTAGCCGGATTCGAGGGCTAGGGCCCATGGGGCAGGAAAGTGCTAGCCAGTGGGTAAGGATGACAGGCAGAGAGGCTGGAGAAGTGAGGAGGAGGCCAGTGCCCACCAGAGTTGGGGCATCGAAGTGCCTAGGAGGAGGCACTGGGGCTGGCAGGACCGAAGCACTGTTTGTTGGTGGCGAGGGGCAGGTGGCCTCTGGAATGACTCAGCAGTGAGGATTTTTCTGCCACCACCTAACAACAGTCAGGTGACTGCAGGGTCACCCTTGCCCTCTGTTAGCCAACCCATGTTGGCCAGAGACAATCAGAGGGAGGGCCAGGCTGGGCCTGTGCCACCCAGATCTGAGGATCCAGCTCTCAGAGGGTGCAGAGCAGGCCACTGACACAGCCCCTGTGCTGGGACATCCTCATACTTCCCCCAGAGCTGACCAGCTATGGACCAGCTTGTCCATAGCCTTCAATCAGCAGTGGGGAAGACAAGGCCCTGGGCTGGGAGAAGCATGAAGCCTGGGCAGCCAGGGCCCCTTTCTAGCAGTCGCTGCCACACCATGTTGCCTCCAAAGCTGGCTTGGGTAAAAGGTCCCTAAAGTAGCTTCCAAAAACGAGTCTGGTCCCCTTCATGGGAAGAGAAGGATCAGGAAGAACAATCTTTGGCTGACTGCTATTTTCTGCTGGCCCTCTTCTGGTTGTCGCGGTCCTGCACTGCTGTCACTTTGCTCACACTGCCTGCTATCTCTTCCCCGGAGCCCAGCAGCAGTGGTCACTTCCTTGGTGCTACTGCGTTTGCAGTCCCATGGCAAGGCCTGGCAGACTGCATCCTCACAAGTTCCTGGTGAGCCACGTTGGCTCATACAGAAGTCCAAAGAGCCTGCTGTTCTCATCTACTGCTCAGGGGCCTCTGGGTCCCACACCAGCCCTGGGCCACTCTGGCTGTGGCCTCCCCAGGGCTCATGAGTGCATGTGTCTCCTTCTCTGGCCCAGCCACAAACTCTTTCCTTGAGAGAGGTCTTGCTGGGCCCCTCTGTCCCTCTGCACCCCTGAGACCCCATCCCAGAACCCATTCCCCAGGCTAAACCAGACAGGTCTTGCCCATCAAACTGGGCTTCCAGCTGCTGGGAGGTGACAGTGGGACCCTGCCTCTTAAACACAGCTGCTTTGAAGGCCCAAAGCATGGGAAGGACCCCTTCTGGGGAGCCTAGTGGGCAGGAGTTACACTGACCTCATGCCCTTCTCGTCTAATGTTGTTGGATTCTCCAGCTCTTCCAACACAGGGGTCTCACACTGTGAACCACTTAGGATGTGATTACTTTCGGGGTGGCCAGGAATGTTGAATGTCTTTGACTCAGTTCATTTCGAAAAATATCTATTGGAAAGTTCTCAGAGTTGTACATATGTTTGAGACTACAGGATCTGTACATAAAATTTTCTTTCCTAAAGTGTTCACCAAGAGGCAATGACTAGGTGCTTTCTTGGTGGCACGGATCTCCTTATTGCTTAGAAAACTGTTCTTGCTGCTCTTTCTGTTTGTAAGTGACAGTGAGTTAGACCTCTAAGGAAAACAACAGTCCTCCAAAATTCTTGTCTTTTTCCTGTTGCCGAATTAGCTGGTCCTTTTTCGGGAGTTGGATGTACAGTGTCTTTTATATGTAAACATTTCTTGTATGTGCCACCATGAACAAAGATATATTTTCTATTTATTTATTGCATATGCACTTCAAGAAGTCACTGTCAGAGAAGTGTTGTCTTAAACGTCATGTCGGAGGGTGTTCTCTGGACTGCTTTGGAGGGGTGTGCCAGAGCCAGGGACATCAGCTCTGGTTTGGAAAACTGAGATGTACCTTAGTAAATATACAAAGGATGCCACTGTCTTGTCTGCTTCTTTCATTTTCCTCATTTTCAACCACTTATCTAAGCAGGGTTAGATCAATGTGCTCACCCTCTGTCTGCTTCTTACGTCTGTGGCCCAAGAGCTACTCATATGACTGTGCCCAGGGTGCCCGGAGTGCAGGAGGGCTGGTCCACTGCAGAGAGGACTCATGGGACCTTTCCTCCTGGGCATTTTTGCCAGAGGCCAAACACGATGTCTGAGAGGAGTGTGGAGGCTGAGGTGGGAACTCGGGTCCAAATCTAGCTGGCAGGCAGGTGGTGCCAGGGCGGGTGAAGGCACCCTTGGCACAGGTGGGGTTCGTGGCCTACAAGCAGGAAGGGGCAGGAACCAGCACAAGTGAGCTGGGTCAGCTGGGCCATCCAGGCAGGCAGCCATCAGCCACATGTGGCTTCCTCTACAGTATTTCATCATGGAAACAGTGCAAAGCTCAGTATCTCATGTGCACTGGCCACATGGCAAGAGCTCTGTAGCCACATGTGTCTTCTCCAAGCTGGACCACAGAGATGTGAACATTCCCATCATCACAGGAAGCTCCTCCCCTGACGATTTCCAGGGAACTACTGAGACTTATACACTGGGATTTAAAAAAAAACAACAAAGCCTCTATATCCCTGCTGTATCCAAGTAGGTGTGTGTGTGTGTGTGTGTGTGTGTGTTTCCAGTCTGCTGGAAGGGGCTGGTACCACACTGGTGGCATCAGGCTGTCAGTGAGATAAGACATCTGGTAAACGAGCTGTGAGTGTGCTGCATCAGGTGTGTGGTGGGCACTGGACAAGCAGAAAGGGGCCACATGTGTGCTGCACTCGGGAAGAAGACAGAAGCACTGCTCTGTGCCAAGCTGGGGATGCCAAGGAGTGACCTGGCCGAGCTCTTCACATAGAGCAATTACAATACCTGGAGTGGCCAGACCAGGGAAGGTCCACCAGCAGAGATGGGACTGGAGGCAGCCGAGGAGTCAGGAATGTTAGGCTGAGCAGTGACCAGGCCCTGGGCTCCAGGATGCCTGGCATAAATCAGGGCAGAGGTGGGAAGGTGGGTGGGCCGAAGGATCTGACGATGGGGTAGGGCCACTAGTGACTTCTCAGCCAGAAACGTCCCCATGAATGGGCATCACAGCAGAGGCAGCTGGGAGGTGCAGAGGGTGGCTCTGCAAAGAGGTACTGGTTGGGGACATGACTCCCAGCTAGCTGAGAAGCCACATACAAACCAGTGTGCAGGGCTGGGCAGGCGCTGCGGCTTCCACATTCATCCCTGCAGCCATCACCAGAGGCCAGGGGGGTCACTGTAGAGAGCACTGGGTGGGCCCTGGGTTGTCCCCATGGAGACAGACAAGAGGATGTGCTCCACCCAGCCAGCTTCGGGCACAGAGGTCCAGAGGGTGCAGAGAGAATGGGTGGAGCGGAGATCTCCAGGCCCAGACTTCCTGCCGAGGGCACAGCTGGAGCCAGAGCTGGAGGCCCAAGGTGTGGACCAGGAAAGGCAGCGGGGAGGCACAGTGGGGTTCGCCCAGGGAGCTGGGGTGGCCTTGAGGGTAGAGACGGCTGGAGTGGAGCACATCTGCCTACGTGAACTGAGGTGGTATCCGGCCCCATAGCCAACGGGACACTCAGCTGGCACTCGGTGCCCTTTGGGGGCCAATGCCTGCATCTCCATCCTGCCTCCCTGCCCCCAGCTGGGCCCTCTGGCCACAGCCCACTGCCTCGGGGGTCTCCTATGCCCTCACCAGCGACCCTCTGTTGCTCTGCAAGGTGGGCTCTGCTTGGTCTCCAGGAGCCACCCATTCAGCCCCTTCTCCCTCCCGCCAGGGCCCGGCCACTGTGTCCCCCTCACAGCCATCACTCACCCCATCTGCAGAGCAGGGCTATCTGATTCTCCCAGGCCAGCAGAGCTGTGCCTCACATGTGTACACATGTGCTGTGCTCAGCTTGCAGAGCAGAGGAATAGAAACGCCATCTCTTCCCTCCTGCTGCCACCTCGCGGCCCGCCCTGTGACCCCACCCAGCTCCCTCAGCCCAGGGCCGGGGACATGGGAGAGGCTTTCTCCCAGGGGCAGGGGAAGGAGTAGCACACAGAGGGGGGAAGTAAGTCCACAGGGCCTGGCGGGGCCCCATCCTCAGGGCCAATGTGGGGGAGAAAGAGGGAGAGGAGACAAGATGGGGCAGGTGGGGCAGACGTGTCACTGGTCCCGCCCTGCCCTCTTCCCAAAAAGCGCCGGAGCACAAACAGAGCAGAAGGCATCATGAGAGGCCCCATTCAGTGGCCCCTGCACCGACGCCATGAGCCTCACACCACCAGGAGCCAGATGGCATAGCCAGCTCTCCTGCCCTCTTCCACCTGTGACCTGGTGGGCACAAGCTGCATCTTTAGGAGACCCAGGGCAGCTGTTGGCAGCCATGTGAGAGGTGTGGCTCTGATGCCACCAGGAGCCCTGGAAGTAGAAACGGGGGCAGCAGATTTACCAGGGGCCGCCCAGCCAGGGGGTCACGAAGGACGGAGGCTGAGAGGTGTTCCCTTGCTCCCTTCCAGCAGCGTCCCTCCTGGAGAGGAAGATGAGGGCCGCCCTCGGGAGAGCACAGGTTCACATCTCATGCGGGGTGTACACACGTGCCAAAGGAAATCACCCTGTAACAGACGAGTGTGTGGCAAGAGTGGCCCTTGGGCGCCTGTCCTGAAGAAGGCAGGAAATGAAGAGTTCAGGAAAGGGGAGGGTGGCACAGGGAGAGCTGATGGCAGCTCCTGAGGTCCCGGAGGCCCTGAGAGAGGATATGGAGGGAGCAGGGCCAGAGCAGCTCTCAGACAGCTGATGATTACTCAGAAATGAGGGCTGGGTTAGAATCCAGGATGTAACGAGCCCAGGTGTGAGGAGAGGGCAGGCACAGGCTGAAGCAGGGTTAAATTCTGTCTTCCCTGCGGCAGGAAGATGTGTTGTGCTGTTCTGGACATTGACGGGTTTGTAATTACAGGTTTAGCGGTGAAAACAAAAACTAATGATGATAATTAATCCCATTTAAGAGGAGACATCTCCTTTCCAAACCACTGCAGAGGAGAAAAGCAAATAAAATACAGCCTGCACAGAGAGAATAGAAAAGTTACCACACAAAAACACAGGATGACCTCACAGCACATGGGTAGGGAGCTGGCAGAGCGAGCCAACTGTTAGTCACAGCAGGACACAAACACGCTCCCTTCAACAATCAGACCCTCAGGTCTGACGAAGAACGCAAAATAAAATCATTTGCTGCCTCTGGGCTGATTACATGATTGCACGTCAGCAGCTTTCACAGGCCGCCTTCTCTCTCAGAGGTTAAATCCTGCTGAAGTTTCCAGGATTGGAAGGAACAGCGAGCCCCAACACCACCTCACCACACACACACAGGCACACGCGTGTGCACGCACACACACACACGCACAGATTATGAAGAACTGTTCATGCGATTGTGGAGACCGACAAGTCCTGACATCTGCACTGGGCAGCTGGAGACCCGGGAGAGCAGGGAGAATCCAAAGTCCCCTCAGAGCTGGGCACCAGCACGTCCCCTCTCCTCAGACCTCCACTTGACGGCCATGGCCCATCCACCCTGGGAGGGCCTCCTGTGTGCTCCACGTCAGCTCCAGCTCCAGTCGCATCCAGAGCATCCGTATGCTGAGTTAGTCGGCTTTTCAGGGCCATGACAGAACAATGTAAGAGGAGGAGAGGTCCTGCTGGCCCTCTGGTTTCAGAAGCTCCAGCCCACACACAGCCCTGTTGCCTTGGGCCTGTGGTGCCTGGCCCATCACGGTAGGAGTACGTGGTAGAAAGGACCTATCTGCTGGTGGTGGCTGGGAAGCACAGGCAAGGAAAGTCCGGGCTGCAACTCCCCTTCAAAGCTGTATCCCAGGGACCTCACTTTCTGCCAGAAGGCCCCACCTCTGAGGGCCCCCCAGGAGGGCCACAGGTGGGGCCAACCCTTCAACGCATGGCCCTTGGGGAACATTCAAGATCCAAACCACAGCACAACATGCCCTGAATCATGTCTGACCAAATGTGGGAGACACTGGCCCAGTCAAGTGGACACATAAAGCTAACCAGCCCAAGCAGCCTCTTTTCTTCCTGATTTCTTCCAAATCGCACGAACTGCAGGAGGTTAGCTGGAGCACAGTCTTGCTGAAGATTTAAGATATTGGGCATCATTGCCCAAAATCTGCTGCACCCTCCCATTCCTGGCACAAACACCTGAAGGGAATCCCTGGCTGGGCTGCTTCTGGAACACAGGGTTCTCCCTTCTTTCTGGGGCACAGAATTGCTGTCTCTCCCACCACCGAAAACACAGGCCCTGGGCGTTTCTTTCCATATCCCAACACTCACCATGGTGCTCTGCTCAGCGAGGCCTTTGTCTTCTGGTCACTGCCCCTCTGCCGTCCACAAAACCTATACTTGGGGTCTTTCCTTAAAGTGACCAAGCTGTGCCAAGGACCTCGACGTATAAGTATAGGGCGGCAGATGACGGCTTCCCCTGCATCCTGAGGCAGAGCTGCTAGGCTTGTCCCAGAAGGACATGGAGAGATGTGGGTAGCTCAAGCTCTGCCACCCACTTCCACCAAAGGAACAGCAGCTTGGAGAGTCACTGCAGGGGGCAGTCCCAGCAGGAGATGCAGAAGAGCAGGACAAATGTGCTCCCCCAAGCAGTGTACCCCTAAACCAAGGGAGAGCGTCCAAGACACCCATCTGGGGAGCGTGGGAGAGTCTTCAGGAAGATGAGCCTGCTGTTTTGCCCTTAGCTGAGGCCTACTGAGCTCCCCAACCTCCTGAGATCCTGGTGTGAGAGCTCTCTGACACCAGATGGAGGGTAGCTTCCAGGCAAATGCACTTCCGCTGTTCACCTGGAAAGGGTAGAGGAGATTCCCCAGAGCCAAGCTCAGGGTGGAAGTTATCTCAGCAGCCCCAGGTGAGCAGGGTGAAAGGGGTTCTGCCCCGATGGCTGAGGGACCAGGAAGG